CCCCCCCCCCTCTCCTTCTCCGATCAACGTTGATGGGCTCGTATGTGATGAGTTCCCATAGATGGCTGTTTACACACTACCTTGAAAGAACCAAACCAACAGGACACTGCGGACGTGGTCGAACAAGCAAACAAGAGCTTGATGGGGCGGGGGGAGACTCTCCTCCATTATTTCGTGCTGCTTGGTCGCTGGGCAGCCAGAGATTCTCCTCTCTGATCTTGTTTTTGTTTTTTTTCTTTAAGAGGCGCTGTAACGTGCTGGTGCGCCAATCTCGCCTTCAATGAAAAAGGCGAGATTGGCGCAGTTGAGTGGGGTTTTCTTTGGTCTGTGTGTGTGTGTGTGTGTGTGCAGCGGTGTGCCACTGATGTGGTGCGTCTCAAGCACGTTGCGTGGAAAAAGGACCTTCTTTGTCCGCCGTCGTTGATTCCCCTCCCCTTCCCTTTGGTGTCTTCTGGTTGTTTGTTGGATGTGGTACGGGAGCACCTCACCTGCAATCTCACGCATGAGCATCCGCATTCCATGTTCAACTGCCTTCCTTTTTGATACCTCTACTTACTGGATTTTGTTTGTTTTCCTTCTTGCGTTCTTTCTCCCTCTCCTCTCCGATCCATACGGGGCCGACGTCTTGGCCACGGCGAAACGTGAACAGGGATACCTGCTGTTCACACCTCCTCTTCGCATATTATTTTTCTTCTTCTTAGTATTAGTGGTTGAGTTCTCTATATCTCTATCTCTCTATCTAGCTATATATATACACACACACGTACGCGGGCTCTATCTGCTTTCCTCTTCACACAAACGCCCATCTCTGTGCCTTTCTTCTTCTCTACTGCTTCCGTTTGAGCTCACCGATACCCATTTTTTCGCGTAGCTGGCCTTCTTCCGCCGTATTTACCCTCCAACAGTCGCAATAACCCCCTCCCCCCCCCTCCTCCTCCTCAAGAAATCCCCAAAACATGTTCCGCGGTGCTTCGCTCAAGGCGGCAGCGGCGGCCATCACCGGCGTCTCGCGCATGCACTACAGCTCCCTTCCCGATCTCAAGTACCCGGCGGAGCTGCCAAAGCTGAACTTCGATTGGAAGGACGGCATTAAGCCCGTCTTCAGCCCCCGGCAGATCGAGCTGCACTACACGAAGCACCACAAGGCCTACGTGGATAAGCTGAACAGCATCGGCAAGGGCTACGAGGGGAAGACGATCGAGGACATTGTGCAGGCCACGAACGGCCACGCCGACAAGAAGGTCGCCTTCAACCAGGCGGCGCAGCACTTCAACCACACCTTCCTGTGGAACTGCTGGACACCGAACGGGACGGCGGTGCCGAAGGAGCTGGAGGCTGCCATCGCGAAGCAGTTCGGCAGCCTGGCGGACTTCAAGACCGCCTTTGAGCAGGCCGGCGCGGGCAACTTCGGTTCCGGCTGGACGTGGCTCTGTGTGAACCCCAAAACGAAGGAGCTGGAGATCGACAACACGAGCAACGCCGGCTGCCCCATCACGAACAACCTCCGCCCGATCTTCACGGCAGACGTGTGGGAGCACGCCTACTACAAGGACTTCGAGAACCGACGCCCGGACTACTTGAAGGAGATGTGGAAGGTGGTGAACTGGGAGTTCGTTGCGAAGATGTACGCGCAGGCTTCCAAGTAGGCGTAGGAAGCGCTGCTGCTCTCGTGAGAGAGGAAAGTGTTCGAGCTGCGCTGTACGCACCGCCTCCTACACAACTATTTATATTTCTACCTATATACAATTTCTTTTTTGAGATTTCTTCGTAAATTTTCGAAATTTCGCTCGTTAGCACTTACTACGCTTAGCTCTTTTGCCGACCCCTTTTCACAGGCGCCCTTCTTCTTTTTCTTTTCATTTGAAGGGCACACCTCTCACTGGCTTATCGGCGTGCTTCATCCAACGCACACACGTGCGCAGAGCCTTTCTCTCTTTCTCTCTCCATATATATATATTTATGAAGGCTTTTTGCCCGCTTTAGTTGTTATGTTTTTTAAAGCTCTTTCTGAATGCTGGGAACGGCGCTACGTGAACGAACAACGATGCTCCCGTGTGCTCGACTCGGTAGCGACAGGGTCTTGCCGTCCTTCTGTCTACATATATATATATCTACAGCTGTGTCATTGCAGGCAGTTCGTTCGGCTTGTCTTTTCCCCCTTCCGCTGTCACAACGGCGGAGTCAAGAAAACGAACAGAAAACGAGGAGAGAGAGAGAGAGAGAGAGAGAAGGAAATGAAACGAAGACAGCGCGACACCGAAGGAGCACGCCTTTTTCTTCTTTTTCTTTTCTGCTGCTCGTAGTGACGACGTTGGCGACGTGAGACCGGTAGTGTCCCCGTAGCTGCGCAATGATCTACCGATGCGTGACAACGACATGTGTGTGAAGAGAGACAGAGAGAGAGAGACGGAGAAGGAAAGCTTGAAAGCAACAACAACAAGAAGGCGTGGGTTTCGTTTTCTCTTCCCTTCTCCTGTCCCGCAGCGTCACAGCGCGTCATCTGCCTCGTGTGTGTGTGTGTGTGTGTGTGTGTGATTTCTTATTTTCTGGATTTCTTTGCTTTTACATCTCTTTAACGATTTCCGCTGTTTTCAATCACACACCGAGAACAAAATTCTTTCAAAAGGAAAACACGTATATTTTGCTTTGGCTATTCAGCGTCTTTTCTTGAGCCGTCTTCTCTACCTCTTTCGATCCCTCAATTAGTACACTCGAAAGAAAAAATATCTTCTCCCCTTTCATTTCCTTCGTTGTCCGTGTTCGCTACATATACGTACGGTCTCCCCCCCCCCCCTCCCACTGCCGGCGCCGTGGAGGATAGCGGAGGCAGACGGCGCAGGCGCCACTTCAGTTCTGATTCGTACGGCGTCTTCTTCTTCTCGCTGTTTTTGATAGTACTGCCATTGTTGTGTCTGATGCTGCGCGATCGGGCTGTAGTGGATGATGCCCCCCCCCCTCCCTTAGATTAAAACTCAGCAGTGTAACTGCAGTGTTTCGCGTTACAGCACAGCCAGGAACAGAAGCGGGTGAGTTCGGGTTGCGGTGAAGCGCTTAGCGCTAATGCGAGAAGGAACGAAGAATGGCACACTGAGAAGAAAAGGCAGCGCTCGTCTGCCTTTTTGGAATTTTCCATTTTTCGCTTTTCACGGTGACGCGCGTTGGGCTGTAGCAGAGCGTGACTGCGAGGGGTGCATCGCTCGGGCAGGTTGTGCTCGAACCTCTTCTTTCTCTTATTATGATTTTTATTACTACTATTTACGGTGGTTGGGCGTGTGCCTGGCTGGCGCGAGAGCAGCAGGATTGAAGAGAGCTGGTCACGCGTGGACAAAGAGAGAGAAGGCGTCATATTACCAAATAATTGTGTCACCTCGCTGCGAGCAGCACAGCTCAAAGAAGAGAAAAGGAAAAGAAGATCAACAACAGTAATAACACGAGTACTTTCGGAGCTGCAGGAAGAGCCTGGCGCCCCGTGCCCTTTCCTGTTACGACAGAAGGGGCGGGCTGTAAAAGAAAAGAAAAATGCAAGACAAGAACGCGTGCCGGCACCGTCTGAACGTCGTCGCGACTTCGCCTACCGGCGTTTTTTATGTGATGATGCATTGTGTTCTTCCGTCGTGGATTTTATTACTATTACTCCTATTATCACGTCACTGTGTCGGCTCTGTTTTGCGATTCGCAGCACCTTCGCCCGCTCTCCTCTTTTTACATTTCTCTCGTATCGTGCGTCATTCTGAGGAGCACACACACACACACACACAGTAAGAGGAATAAGAAGAACCGTGTTGACTTGACCTCTTGTGCTGCGCCAAGCCGTTGGTACAATCGTGAGAAGAAGGGTTGTTTTTTTAAGCACGTCCTGAGTGGCGGATCGAATCACCTCGACGTTGTCGCCGCGGTTCGTCTACTTGCCTGGAAAGTGCAGGAAGGAATTCCCACTCTCTTTTCTGCTTCTCACTCGCACACCGTTGCGGCCTCAGCGAGGGGTTTTTTCTGGTTTTTTTTTTTAGCATTCACCGAACAGCGCGTAAGTCCCAAGGTCTTTTTCTCTGTCGTTGTTGCTGTGGTTGTGTAATTGCGGAGGAGGGGTGTATTCGAACCGTACTAGTGTAGGCAACGACGCCACGGAGCGATGTCAAATTCCGCGGTGACTGCGGGCACGGTCACCGTGCCCGCACCGTCCCACCACCCCCTCCAGGTGCTAAGGGACTTTACCGAGTGCCGCACGCTGTTCATGTGCTGCGACATGCAAGAGAAGCTGGCGAACCGCATCCCTGGCTTCCACGAGACGATCCACGTCACGAACAACCTCACCCTCTTCTGCGAAATCCTCGGCCCGAAGCACTGCAGCTGCGTAGCGACCGTGCAGTACCCCGACGGCGTGGGGCCGCTCTATCACGAAATCCTTCTACCGCCCAACACGCCGGTCTTCCCTAAGATCGAGCCGTCGATGCTGCTACCGGAGGTGCTGCCGTACCTGTACGGCGACGCGGAGCGCGGCCTCCTGCCGGTGCAGCAGGTGGTGCTGTGGGGCCACGAGACGCACGTCTGCATCTTGCAAACGGCGGACGAGTTACTGCGACGTGGCTTTCGCGTGACCGTCGTGACCGACGCCTGTGCGGCGCAGCGGCGCGTAGATCACGAGGTAGCGATCATGGAGATGAGTCGGTGGGAGGGGCTGCTGCTGACAGCGTCGACAAGCCTTTACCTGCAGATTATGCGCGAACACCCGCGCTATCTTGCGCCGGTGATGAAGGTGGTGTTGGACCGTACAGGCATGTTTAAGCGACCGTACCAGCGCAGCGAAGACCCGACGCTGACGCCGGCGGAGCGGGAAGTGCAGGACGAGTAAACTCCTTCTGCGGAGGAGGGCGCTCGTGACAGTGTGTGTGTGTGGAGGGAGGGGGGAAGGGAGCGGTGTGCTGCCTCCCATTGCTGGTCCTCCAAGTAGGATGAATGAAGCTGTTCTCCCTGACGTATTCTTTTCTGATTGTTTTGTCTTGTTTTGTTTCGTGGACGTCGCCTGCGTCTCGTTGCGCCGCTCTCTCTCTCTCTCTCTCTCTTTCATACGGCGACGCGTGTGCGCTCAGCACGACTGACCGCCAAGTGATCTGCTAAGGGTGCTGCCCGAGAAGAGGGAAAACCACAGAGGGAAAAGGCGGCAGGTGAAGGAAGGAAGCGACGTGCTCCTCTGCACCTCGACGTGTGCGTCAGCACCAAAAACGGGCAGCTTAGTTTTCTTTTCCTTTCTCTGTTCACTCTAAAGGTTTTTTTTTTCCAGTTGCTTTCCGTATCTCTTTCTCTTTCCCTCTGCCGGATCGTTTGGGAGAACGGCGGAGGGAAATCAGCGGTGTACAGCGCCGCAGCCTTTTTTCCAGTGTCTTGGTTTACATTCATATATGCACGATAGCTGTGGGTGTTGAACTCACTCCATTTGCTGATTGCTGTTTACTATGATGATGATGATGATTTGCTCTCGTGTGTATCGGTTTTTAATCTCTACTCAAAGCAAACTTCTACTACATATGTTTTTCCATCTTCTGAGGGAGAGAGTCACCGTCGTCTTCGGCGTGGCTGATGCGCGACTATTGTCAGCGCACTCCGTCGTCGTCGCTCCTGACGTGGTGGTGATGGCGGCTGTATCGGAGGTGATGTGCGCCCTTCTTCTGGTGCCCCTCCGCGTTCTGATCCCCTGCACGCACTTCGATTTATTACAATTATTATTCCTTTTCCTTTTCTCGCCTGCTTCTGCGGAATGCGAGATAGTAGCAATAGACTTTTTAAAGAAGAGAAGAGAAACTCAACGGCGTCCCTCAGTCGTAACCGCGGCGCCATTCCACCTCCTCACAGCGCCGACACACACGCAGCCGCACGCCTCTTCTTCTATTTCTATCGACTGGAGCAGCTCGAAACCCTCCACAAAACAAAGAAGACAGCGGGGTCTCCGGACCGCTTCGCGGCACCCTCCACGAAGCGGGCGCATTCATGCACCCTAAAAGAGAGCCGAATACATTCTAAAAAGGAAAACAGTAGGAAGCTCTCTCCTCAGCATACCTATATATATACCTCTCGCGTTACCCGCTAAACTCATACTTCTATCATTCATATTGCCTTGTTTTCTTTTCTTCCAAAAGGAATGTCGCAGCACTCCATCTCTGAGCACTCGCGGCTGCTCCGGAAGTTCGACACCTGCCGCACCGCCTTTCTGCTGTGCGACGTACAGGAGAAGGTAGCACCGCACATCCGCAACTTCCACGACGCCGTCCACGCTGCGAATGCGCTGGCGGCGGTGTACACGCTGCTCGGGCCCGCGCATTGCGTGTTCGTTGTCTCGGAGCAGTACCCGAAAGGCCTCGGGCACACGCACCGCGACATTCAACTCCCGGCGGGTGCTGTTGTGGTGGAGAAGCTGACCATGTCGATGCTCGTGCCCGCGATTTGCCCTCACATCTTCGGCGACGCCGCACGCGGCATTCCTCCCGTGCAGCAGGTAATCATCTGGGGCCATGAAACCTACGCCTGCATCCTGCAGACGACGGACGAGCTGCTCGCACGCGGGATTCGCGTGGCGGTGCTGGTGGACAGCAGCGGGGCGCAGGTCCCGGCGCACCACGACATGGCCGTCATGCAGATGTCCCACTGGAGCGGTGCGATGATGACGACACTGCCGTCAGCGCTGATGCAGCTGACGCGGTCTGATGCGCGGTTTGTGAAGGACATCATTCGCATCCTGAAGAAGTACGCCGTTGATTGGGCGTCGACGCAGCCGAAGCCGAAGAAGCCGGAGGCGGGGGAAGAGAGGCCGCAGGAAGAGGCGAATGCCGCGGCCGTCGCGGAGACGGAGTCGGCGTGGACCGGCATGGACAGCTGAGCGCAGCGCAGGCAGAAGAAATAATAATGAACTCATTGCTTCTCTCGCTCTCGAAGAGCATGCTTCTCTTGCTTAAAAAAAAAATAGCGATTACCGCAAATGCAAGCAACAACACAAGCAAAGAACATAACAGAAGGGGATGGGGAGACTCGTGCTGTTCGCAGTCGCCCTTGTTGCGTAACACAGCTGCTAACACTATGTGTGTGGGGGTGAGAAAGAAGGCTCTGAGAACAACGCGAAAGGAAGATGCACGTCCGATACGTGATGGCAACGGTGACCTGCTACCCGAGGTTGGAGATCTGTGGTATCGTCGCTCGGTAATACGGGCGTGCAATACTATTATTATTATTATTATTATTATTATTATTATTATTATTATTATTATTATTATTATTATTATATGTCCTTCCTCCCTCCTTCTTTTCTCCTTGTGTTTGTGTATGCGCGTGTGTGTGTGTGTCAGTGGGTGTGCAACCCTCTCAGTATCATCGCTGACATCATCTGTAAGAAACGGAAAGAGAACAGCACAAATAACGTGCCGCTTCTTTTATTTTTCGGTTTGCTTTGGGGGTATTCGCTCCTCCGCGTACGGAATACACTGCACATAACAAGTACCAACAGGCACAGATTCGCCTATTTCCTCACACATACACGTACACATACACGTACACATACACGTACATACACCGAGGAAAAGAAAACGCCGATGTCCCTCTCCTCCTTTATCGCGCCGCGTTCTCACCTGCTGCAGCAGTACACGAGCTGCCGCACGATGTTTCTCTGCTGCGACATTCAAGAAAAGCTGCGTAAGCGAATTCCAAAATTTAACAACGCCGTCGTCGTCTCGAACTTAATGGCCGACTTCCACGACGTGCTGACACCGAAGTACGCAACCTTTGTGGCGACCGAGCACGCGCCCGAGCTCGCTGGTCCCTTCGTCAAGGACATTCGTTTGCCTGCAGGCACGCACATCATGACGAAGTATCAGCCGTCGATGCTGCTGCCGGACGTGTCGTCTTTGCTGGAGGGCGACGAGGCGAAGGGTGTGCTGCCGGTGCGGCAGGCGGTGCTGTGGGGGCATGAAAGCCACGTGTGCATCCTCCATACGGCCGATGCGCTGCTGCAGCGGAACATCCGTGTCGCAGTCCTCGTTGACGGGTGCGCGGCACAGCACGCCATCGATCACGAGGCGGCAGTCCAGACGATGGCCTCGTGGGATGGGCTGACGCTGTCGACCATTGAGTCTGTCGTGATGCAACTGACGCAGAACGACCATGCGATGGTGAAGGACCTGTGGAAGCTGCTTCGTACGCGTCGCGAGCAGCTCGCGTGAGGCGCGTGCGTGTGCGGTGAGGGATCTCCGCAACAGCAGGATAGAGAGAGAGAGAGCAAGATACTACCGTAAAAATATCGGTACTCTCGCTGTATGTTATTATTATTATTATTATTATTATCAGCGCTAATAATGTTGTTTTGAGGTTCTTTCCTATGCTAGCGAATGTTATTTTATCTCCATTTTTAAACGGCGTAATATGAACTGTTCATGTTTGTGCGTGTGTGTGCGTTTCCCATTACCAACCTCCTTCACTCTTTGGCATTCATTTTCGCTTATTTTGTTTGTTTTCACTAACGCCCGCACGTAAGCACGTCTTTCAGCGTGTGGGGTGTGTGGAGGTGTGACCGCGTTGTATCCGGTAAGGCGATACAAAGAGGGCGAAGCTGTTGGGCTTACCGGCGTGACATATGAAGTTATTGTTCTCTTCTGTTATTTTCTTTGTTTTCTCACACACACGCGCACGCTCTGAGAGAACTGCCGGTGGAACGAGGAAGCGTGGGCGGAGCAACGTCTCCTCATCTCACGTGTTCTCTCCTTGCCGTCTTTCCTTCCTCTTCTATAAAGCTCCACGTGGACGAGTTCTTCAGACGGCGCCCAACGTGGGCACACGCTGATGCTTTCTTTTTCTTCAGCCTTTTTTTTTTCTGTTTTGGCTCCTCTTCTGTTTGCTCTCTGTTTCTTTGTTTTGCTTTTCCATGAAAGAAGCAGTTGAAGTGCTTTCTTCAATCTTCCCCCTCATTATCATAATAATAAAAAGAAATAGAAGAGAAGAGTGTGTGCGTGTTTGCTGACTTCCAGTATCAGGGGAGACAGGGCCGTATTCGCACGCGCCGCTCGCGAGTCGAGGTCACGTCGCACTGAGGTGAAAACACCGAAAAGGAAAACACAATTAATTGTACGTTCAAGAATCCCTTGCAGCTGCTTCTCTCGCGGTGCTACTTGGATATTTTTGGTTGGGGTTGTTCGTCCGTCGAACTCCCTTTTTTTGTATCTTTACTTCTCTTAATGCGGAATTGAATGACCGCGTTGTAGCATACATATATAAGAAGAACACCGTTTTACTCGTCGTCTGACCGCCTTTCGCTGTCTCTCTCTCTCTCTCTCGCGGTGCGGTGCGGTGAGCTATCCGCCGTACTTGCTTGTAATTTTTTTCCTTTACCGCTTCCTCGAATCTCATTCCTCTCACAGGAATACAGACGTGCCTGCTTCAGCCACATTCCTTTTCATTCACATACAAAAGAGAAAAGAGAAAAAGCAAGAAACTTAGGAGAAGAGAAAAAAATGCAGGCGCAAATGGCATTGCAGCAGTCCATGGAGCAGTACATCATGCTCGACTTCGCGAACATCGTGTTGGAGCAGTGCTGGGACACGTGCTACGACCGCAACCTCACTCGGGCAGAACTCGCCTCCGGTGACATACCCGATGTGAAATTTCAAAAGATGGACGCGTGCGCACGGAAGTGTGTGGGGCGACACTTCGAGGTGATGAAGCTAATGATGGAGAGCCGCGAGATTCGCGCGAAGGAGGAGGCGCAGGGCCTGGCACCCGGTACGCTGAGTCAGCCGAGTTGAAGCCGGTGAACCCTTCTGTACCGATGATACGCGTGTTTCACGTCAACGCCGGCGAGAAAACTACGTGTTGTGAATCGGAAGAAGTGAGTTTTGTGGGTTTTGTGTGGAAAGACTGCTGTGGAGTCTCTTCGTTGATGAACTTTTTTGTTGTTGTTGTTGTTTCCTTTCGTGTCAATGTGGGGGCGGCTTGCTCGCTGACGTTGGTGTCCTCGCTCTACTACACATAATCTCTAACTCGCACAACAACAGGAGAATGGTTTGGTGAAGGAGGCAGTCCGCCAAGTGTGTTCATCATCGCGGCATTTATTATTATTACTATTGAGTCCTTTAACAATGCTGTCTCATCACTCCTCCTTCGTATATATATATATATATATGTCCTTTGCTATCGCTTCATCCCCCACCACGCCTGCCTCCTAAATACGTATTGCCAATAAATATTTTTGTTGATGTCGCCCTCCGCGTTGCCGCACCTTAGCCGTCTTCACAGAACATTCTCTTTTGTTTATTTTACATTGTGATGGGGACTGGTGCTGCGCATCGGGATACGCAGACCCACCCACATCACCGTCGCTTACCGCCGCCGCAGCACCTTCTTCTTTGTTCACCGTACATATTTAATCCAACGCCGTTGCCGTGGCAGCTGGCGGTAGCTGTCGCTGCTCACCTGCTCTCTCACACTCTCGTCTCCGTTTGCTTCCCCTTTGCGTAGTCCAGCTTTACCGTGGGAACGGATTGCATCGACTGCTCTTGCGTCGTTTATCGCTGCCATTAATCCAACCGCCAAAACAGTTGAAGCAGCGAAAGACACGGATACCTCTGTCTCGGCCCCCCACCACCACCACCGCCCCTCCTCTTCATGCGTGTTGACGTGTCAATGCAGCTGGCCGAGTTGGCTCATCGGGGACAGTGGTGGCGTTGTCTTGATGTTCTACAGCAACTCGTCGCCGCAAAAGGCGCTGGTGCGACACACGCTGTGCTGCAGCAGCCCTCTGTGCTGCGTCGTGTTGTGCAGCCGACGTGGTCCGATGGGAAGCAGGACCGATGGAGGAGAACCGCCGCCGTGTTGGTGCTGTGTGGACAGGCTCTGCATGCAACTCCCACTTCTTCTCGAACATTCAATCATATCGCCGTCGGCAGCAGTGATGGTGGTGCGAAGGCAGCAGCGCCATCGCATGAACCTACGTGGAACGGAACAACACAAGATGAAAAGGCCCGTATGCGGACCTCGTCAGCGCCGCTCGCTGGTGAAGCATCCGCAGCGACGACGTCCGATCCTCCGACTAGCGAATTTGATCTCTTACCTCCGCAGCTCCGTGAGTGGAAGCTGCTCGTCACATCGCTGCTGCAGTCTTACGTTTCGCTGGCGACGGATGCGGCAGGTACGTACGGCGACGAGCAAAACCCGCGTGCGACGTGTTCTCCAACGTCACCCTTGGCAGCGCCGTCGAAGGATCCGGACGGAGTCAACGGTGGAGAGGAGACGGTGCGTGCCGCGGTGAGGGAGATCTGTACCTGGGCAGCGACGGTACAGCTTGGTGTCGACGGCGCGCTGCTGTCCGCCGCTCGTGCAAAGGCGGAGATTGAATTCAGCGGCGCGCAGCAGCAGCAGACTCACACCCGAAGGGAAAAGGATGATGTCGGATCCACTGCTGCTGAAGATGGAGGCCAACTGCAGAGCAGCGAAGCATCCTCTTCACGTCCTCCTGTCGTTGGGGACCGACACGGTATGGCACACACGGAGTGCTCCCTCGCAGAGGCTTCCCCTTCTCGAATGGCTCACCGTCTCGCCTCGGCCTGGAAAAGAGCCACGGCGCTGCCCTCCGTCGTCTCGTCCGCGCCGCCGCCGCTTCGAGCCCTCCACGGCGAGGCGACGATCCGCGAGGGGTTCGAAGAAGCGGTGGCGCAGCTGCATACAAGCGAAGATGCGACGACGAGTGCGGAGTTCGTGCTGTCGAAGCAGCGCACCCTCGCGCACTTGGTGTGGCAGCGCGCAGCGGGGATGGTCGAGCCGCACCATCGCGGCGGTGGCGCCGTCTCTGTCGAGCAGCACCTCGCTCTTTTCCTTGCGTTGTCGGAAGAGGTGCTGAAGGCGTTGGAGAGGGCAGCAACAGCGGCGCCGTTTCGAGACGGCGCTGCGAGCAGCGAAGATCAACAGCGTGCGTTTCGAGAGAGTGCGGTGGTGGTGTCAGCGTCGGAGTTGGCCACGTTGTCATGGAGTGGCAGCAGGACGTGCGTAGATGTGTCAGAGGTGGAGAAGGGCAGCAGCAGCAGCAGCAGCAGCGTTTTCGCTTTGGCAGAGTGTAAGCTCCGCACGCTCCGCGCAGTTCGGCACTTGAGTCGCGCGGTATCGCGGCTGTTTGCGAATCAGGCGTCCAGCACACAAGCCACAACAGCAGCAGCGGCGCCATCTCCATTGTCCTCCTCTTCTTTTCCAGCAAGCGGACATGGAAGTCGCTGGCTTGCCAATAGAATCGCCGAGTTGCAGCAAGGCGGCGACGCGGACACCAACAACCATTTCTATCCTTACGAGGTGTTCCTCCTTCGCACGCTGGTGAGCGCGGGGGGTGCTCTTTATAGTGGAAATAAGTGGAAGGATAACACACCAGATTCGTCGTCGCAGGTTGAGGCGGCGGTGCGGTTGACCATTACGGTGGCGGCGGCACCGAGCGCTTCGGCAAGCCTGCTACCCCTCCTACGCGACGCCCTTCAGCTGCCCCTTTTCTCCAAACACAGCGGCGGCGCCGGTGTCAGCTCCGCCAGCCGATGGAGCAGCACTAGTAGTAACAGCAGCCGCGCGCGCTCTCCGCCTTCAATGATGTCGCCCACCTTTGTCTGTTGGGTGTTAGACAGCTGCCCAGCACGGTTGTCCTACGCACTCCTCACCGGCGCGCTGCGCAAGGAGGATGCGGAGAGCTCGTCTGCCACCCCGCTGTCACCGATAGAGTTAGCGAACCTTGCGTCGGTGGTGCATGCGTTGAGCAGCGGTTTGAACAGCTACCGACGCAGCAGCCATTGCACGCGATGCATCACCACGGATAGAAGCCACAAAGGAAAAGGCAGCGAAGAAGACCTCTCCTCTGCCGTGGCAACGAAGCACGGCTCGTCTCCGCAAAGCTTTCTGTCCGGTGATGCCGCGTGCGGGTCCGTCCCGTTCCTCGCACGCATCTTTGACTCGATGGATGCCGCCTCCCTCGTGGTGTTTGGGCAGCAGCTCTTGAATGTCGGCGCGGGGCGCCATCTAGAAGACTCCCCTGCACTAGCGGTGCATCCCTTGCAAGAATCTACGAGCACGGAAGGCGGCTCCTACGGAGTATTGAATCACGTCATCGCCTCTATAGCGGACCTGGAGACGCGCGGCGTCGTCGCGCAGGCGCTGCTGCACCACGTCTGCAGGGCGGCCCCTCCTTCGATGACGTCGTCATCGCCACTGCAGAACGGCCGGCAAACCACAACGCAGCTGCCGCCGCAACAGCAGCTGGCTTCCGTGATGGGTGTACTGATGGAGTCCTTGCTGTCGAACCCGGCGAGTAGTCCACGGACGGCTGCAAGCTGCGCACAGCACTGCCTGCATGCACTCACGCAATGGGCAGCGGAAGACCGCCTTGGCACGCGCGAATCATACGATGAGCGCCGTGTGCTGTACAGCGCTGTTCGCCAGTGGTTTACGTCGAGTACGCAGCTTTATTTGTTCCACCACGCGCGGCTGTTCCTGGAGGCTGCCACGGCGAGCGACGACGCATCCCTCGCGCAGAGGGAACCGAAAGGCGGCGCCATTCAAGCTTCAGCGGCGCAGCAGTGTGCCGCTTGGTTTAACGATCAGCTCTTGCACCTCGCCTCACACGCGTCGTCTTCCTCGGAGAAGGGGCTATGGCGGTACCCGCAGCAGCAGCAGCAGCAACACAAAGAGCTGATGCAACTCTGCAGCGCCACAGCGCGTCAAATTACTGGCCTCTGTCGTCTCGTATCCTACCAGCTGCAGCTGCTCCGCGAGGGACCCAGTGCACTCACGCCGCCGTCCGCCGTCGCGCCTCTCTCCCCTTCCTCCGCAAGACACAATGACGTCAGCATCGACAACACCACAAAAATGCAGGCGGTGTGTGCAGCGGCGTACAACGCTGATTACGACTCCGTAGGGGTAGCCTACCTGTGTCATCTCGCCGTGGCGTCGTCCGCACGCACAGCCGGCAACGTAGCCGTGCACGCACCGTCGACGATCATCACGGCGCCACCATCGTTCATCTGCGCGTTTCTTCAGCGAAGCGACACCTTTGCGGCCTCTTCGGCTGCGTTTTCCGCCACTCGCGGTTCCCTGTTGACGCTACGCTCCGCCACCCCGGCCGATCGGCAGGAAGGCCCGCTGAATGCCTTGCAACTGCACCACGGCAGACCGTTGTCTGCCACGCAGCATGAGCAGCTCGGGCGCGCCATGCAGGACTTCTCGCACCACCGCCGCGTCCACGATGCTGTTGCGCTCTTCTACTCGTACGAGCGTCAGGACCGACGACTGGAGTTGGCAGAAGTGGAACTGTTTGCCGAGACCGCGAAGCGTGCGACGACTCCCTTCCTAGTCCGACTGCTGACCTACGTGCCACCGCCCTGTGAGAGCGCGGCGCTGGCCACCGCCATCGTCGCCGGTGCCTGGAAAGGCTATCAGCGGGCGTGGCGGCGCTACAGACAAGAAGGGAGCACAGCTCCGCGCTCCACGAGCCGCCAGGCGCAGCCGCACCTCTCTTCGTCCTCGTCCCTCCCCGCCTCCGCCTCCGCCGCTTCCGTGAGGGAGGCGGACGCAGCTGCGACACCTCACCTTTCGTCCGTGAGCTCGCGTTGGCATCAACGTCAGGCTGTCGAGCAGGCCTGGTACGAGGCGCTCGCCATCGCGCTGCAGGCAATCGAGCTGCTGCCCACATCGCCCCACGCGGCGCTAAACCAAAGCGCGCAGCACGCTCTTGTGCGTACGTTGTACCGACTTCTACTGGCACAACCGCAGTGGATCGCCCACTCCCCTCGCACGGGAATGACGGGAGGGAGATCTACGCTGCCGCTACGCACAGCTGTTTTGATGAACATGTTGTTGCTGTCGCCGTCACCACCGCTGGCGCACCGTCTCATGATAGGGGAATGGATGCAGCGCACCGTCGACGAGCTGCGGAAGACCCTGGACTTCTGCGAGGTGCACCACGACGCGGCGACGACGGTACGCGCGTATCTGCATTTTGTGGGCACGCACACCGCGGCGGCTTCTCCCAATGCATCACCTTCTCCTACCTCTCGTGTGATTAACGGAGCGGTGGATGACGGCGTGGCTTCCACTCTCGTGCCGCTGCTGCCGGTGGACACCTACGTCTCACTGCTTTCGCTGTCCAGCACACACGTCACGACGTCCGAGGGGTCGCTGCCGGGTTGGTCCGCCGCGCTCCACGCCGGTTCGGCGGCCGCCGAAGATGGAGAGCACGTGCACCACGCGCGCACTCCACCGCCACCGACATCGTCGGCGCACGCGACTCCCCGCAGCGCCGACGTCCAACGAGAGCAACAGCATCGTCGGCAACAGCCAATAGAAGAGGAGAGTGACATGGAGCAGCTGTGTCGCCTGCGAGCAACAATGGAGGAGAACGCAGACGAAGGAGAACGGCGCACGACCCCACCCACGCCCACAACCGGAACGTTTGGGGACGCAATCCATACACGGGACAGCGATTCAGCGAAATTGGATGAGGAGGAGATGGCAAAGGCGGACGACGGACACACCACGTCAGCAGCAGCAGCAGCGATGGCGGCTTCGGCGCTGCGCCGCTCCCACGCATTTGAGGCGAACGGCGCTGCGGTCTTTCAATTCGTTGCCGTGACACTGCCGTCCTCGTTGCGTCGTCGAGTCGAGGGCGACGATTCGCTGCTGCCGCTCGTTACGGTGCTGCACGACGCGCTACGGTGGTGTCGACTGAAACCACGACAGGTGTCCCACCACGCGGACGTGCCGGACATCTCCAGCAGCCGCGACAACGACGGTTTCTGGGTTGATGGCGCGTGGGCAGGTGAAGACGCGGCAGAGGACTCGATGACGGCGGGCGCGGATGTGCTAATACGACTTCTCTGCTCCGCGCTGCATCTTGAGTCGTCGGAAGTGTATGCTGCTTCTTTGGATGCCCTCCCCGGCGCATCTCGACAGCAGGGTGGCAGCAACGACAGCACGGGTACCTCGTGTTTGTTGACGGGAACGTTGCTGCCGCTCTCGTCTCCTCCATCAACTCGCAGAATTACGTGCTGCGTGTGTACGTGCCGGTCGCCTCACGAGCCGGCCTCGTGGAAGCTCATGCGCCACGCCGACGTTCTCTTGGAGTACGCCCTCTGTTACCTGCGGGAACTGCACGCGTTAGAGCACGGCGTGCTGTGGATCTCACCCGCGCAGCAGCAACGGGCCGACGCGGCGATGGTGGAGTGCCTCCAGGTGATAACAGCGGTGATGGAGGCCGTCGATGTGTGGGCGGCGGAGCACAAGGTGCAGATGCTGAACGAGCGCGGATGCTCAAGCGTCGCCGCCGCGTCCACCGCACAGCACGCCACGACGATCCAGTCAAATGGCGGAGATGCCGGCGCAGCCGAAGACGTCACCGACGCCCTTCGTGTGCGACTGCGCGGTACCCCGTTGGACTTGCTAAAGCAGCTCCTCCCTGTCCACGACTCGATGGGTGAAGTCGGGTCAGGCGTGCATCCGCAGGCCGTACACGACCTCACGTGCGTGGTGCGAGGCGACGTGGCGGCGTTCGAAAAGTGTAGTCCGGCCCATCCTTTCATGCGCCAGCTGTGTGGCAGTGCTGGGAGTGGCCCGCGACAGTTCAACGCACCAATCTCTGCTGACCCGCTGCACGAGCTTGTGCGGGCCATCACGCAAGGTCACTTCTCCGTCTTGACCGCGTTTATAGAAGATGTGGCGTTCGCGGATGTCGATGCCGCTGCTGTTCCGACCGATCGAGCGTGGGTCAGCAAGCGACTGGCTTATGTGTTGCGCTGTCTCACCGCGAATCGGGTCGGGGCAACGGACTCGCAAAGCGGCGCGTCAAGCAGCGGCGGCGGCGCTGCACAGGCGCTGGTCGCCCGCGTTGCAGCAGCCGATGTGACGCTGCGCCGGCTTTCTTCCCATCTCACGGACCTCGCCTTCACCGTGGAAGCAACAGCAGAGGCAGTCGCGACGTCGACGCAGCTGTCGGTGTCATTGCTGTTGTCGCAGCTGACTGACGCGGCGCACGATTCTTTTCAGGCGGCCTTGCTACTCGACGAGTGCTCGGCGTGGTGGAACACGCTGCACCTCGAAAGCTCCGTCGGCATCTCGACTGTTCGCGGTATTGCGGACGGCATCACAGCGAGTTCAACGCACGCGGGCGCGACAAACTGGCTGCTCCTCTATCACAGCTGCTTGGCCCACGTGCAGCGGGAGACGGCGCGCCTGAGGAAGGTGCTGAGGGACCTGTACACGAGCGTTTGGTGGGGCGACATTCTGCCACGCGTGCAGGCGCGTTTCGCGGCTTGCGCTGCGCGCTTCTGGTCGGACGAGGGGGTTCGCTTTCACAACCTGTACGTCAGTGTTGCGTTGCAGCACCACAACACGGCAACCGCATCGGACGAGTACCGGCGAGATACCGTGCAGTGCGCATTCGAGAAGCTGCAGCAGGCGTTGGTGCGTCATCTCCCTTCCACGTTAGCCGCCTATGAGCGTAGCAAGACGCAGCTAACGCATCCATCGGTCGATATGGACGAGCTGCTCAACGACCATGACACGGCAGAGGAGAGGGAAATTTATGGAAAGGCACGCAGAGCACTCGATGTAGAGCGTGCGCTGGTCGATTACCTTGTGCGGAGCAGCCCACAATTGAGTCCCACCGCGACACAGCGTGCTCTCAACACGAACCCGTTAACAAGCGTCAGCGCGGAGGTGTTTGAAAAGGCATTTCAAGCGGCGCTGTCGGGCTTGCCGTGGCAGCACGCCTCGCTGCTGTGGCGTACGGTCCCCTCCTTTCTTGAGATGGAGGAAGCGGAGGAGGTAGGAGGAGCAGCGGCAGCGCTGGGCCGCGCACCGGTACTCACCGAAGCAAATCGCGAGTCGCACGGAACGCGTGCAGTGGGCGCGCAGACGACAACTCCTGGTCTTACCTACACACTCCCGCGGACACTGTGGCGGCTGCTCAACGACCTGCGGCAGCTCTCGGCCACCGCCGCGGCGGAGAAGGACAGAAACAACAGCGAGGGCTGTTATGTGAGTACGGAGAGCGTCCTTTCGTTGGCGCTGCTCTCGCCGGCACCGCTCATCGTGGACGGTTACCTCGTTCACCCCCTCCTGCGGTACTCTTGCACTTCTCGCAGCGCTGATGAGGCGGCGAGTCGCGATGAGACGTGGCTAACGCGCCTCATCGTCTACGGAATGGACAAGACGGACGACAGCGGCGCGACTTCGTCTTCTTCCGGCGACTCTTTCTTCAACCCATCTCACGATCAGCGGCCGGAGGCGCACGAACGTGGTTCGTTGCCCGTTTCGTACGCCTCGGTGACCTTCGCCACCGCCACTTCCACCATACCGGCTCCCAACCGAGGAGCATCGCCGGCTTTTTCTTCCTCGCTGCTCCCGACGTCGCTCTGTCGACGCGTTGCGCCCTCCCTCGTTCTTGCGACGCTGCGTGATGCCTCCCTCGCGCCAGCGGCTCCTCTGCCGACTTCGATGGCTACTGCTTCTGCGATTTCTTCTGCGTTGCAGCCGCCAGCATCGGCGGCGGTGTCGCGTGAGGCGCTGCTGGTGGATCTCGAGCAGTTTCTCGGCTACATCGCACCGGAGGCCTGGCGTGTGGCACTATTGTGGATTCAAAACACGCCTTACCCCACGACTCTGTGCAACGAGGCGCACGACGAGGAAGCCGGCTGTGCGGCTACTCGGGCGGTATCGTCTGTCGAAGTGAGCTCCACCGTGGCGATGAGGAAGGCGCTGAGTCCGGTGGAGCAGTGCACGCTGCGGCGACTGCGGAGCGCGTTCCTGGCGTGCGGACCGTGGCCTGTGGAGGTGGCGCAGCCGCTGCTGGCGTACGTCATCGCTCGCCAACGACAGCGCGTCTGCGTCGCTGGCGTGCACACGACTGAAACAACAAGCAGTGGCGGCAGCGGCAACACCGCAGACGCGTTGGTTGTCTTTCCCGAGGCGGAGGACCTCTATCGGCTGTTTTCCTCGACGACGCACCGTGAGAGTGCCACGGAAGGGCCGTCGTGCGTGATGGCCTCTGCGTTTGCGCGACCCCCGCTGATCTGCCCCGTCGTGGCACGCCACGTCGAAGATGAGAACGATGTGCAACGAAGGACGGGAAGGGGGAGCTTAAAAGGCGACCCCGACCCAGTCGTCGCCGCGTACTGCGCGTGCGATGGTGGGTATCGGCTGCCGTCCTACATGGAAGGAGGCACTGATGCTCCTTCTCGAAGAGCGCGTTTCCGCGTTACTTCGCCATCGACGCCGCCGCCGCTTCCGTCCCTGCTTCGATGGAGCACCACTTCGAGAAATGTGGCCTCCCCCTCCGCACGGCAGCTCGTGTCGCAGGCTTCTGCGGATGCGCATTTCGCCGAAGCACCGCCGGTTCTGCTGTCGTGGCTGCGGCGACTGTCTCTCGCGCCGTCGCTGCCCGCTTGCGCAAGTCTGGTGTCGAGTCGGCCATGGAAGGAGGCCGTGCTTGCATTGCACAGGCGACAGCTGATGCCGTTGCTGCGAGTGGTGTGGAAGACGCTGTTGATTCGAAAAGTGGAGCTCGACGCGGCGGTGAAGGATGCGACAGGTAACTCAACGCGCAGCGTCAAGGAAGAGGCACCGAAAGGAAACGCATCTGGTTTGACTCCAGAGGAGATTGCCTGGCGAGAGGTGTGTGCCTCGCTGTTTGCGGTCATCGCGTGTGCTGCGGCTCGTGTGACAGGGACGGGTACCTCCCAGAATCGCACAAGAGCGACCGCGAAGATGCGCCGTGTTGTCCGGCAGCTGACGGAGCTAAGGGATGAAGTGTGTATCTTCTGGATCTGCTCGCTGCTCGAGCACGCCCTCACGCGCTCGCTGGACGCCAATGTGAGGAAGACGGCACAGACTGACAACGCGGCTTGGGTGAAGAGGGAGGAGGTGGAGGCGCTGTTCCGCAGCTCCATGGCGGCCTACTTTGAAACGTCCAACTCTGCTGTGAGAGGTCGCGCAGGAAACTTGCAGGAGCACCTGCGCGACGCCCAGTGGATGCTCAGCTGGCAGAAAGACGGGCCCCACGATGCAGCAGCGGCAGCGAAGCCGCACACACAGTCTTCTCCAACCGCCGAGACAGAAGTCGCGCTGAAGGCGCTGCTTACAGAAGCTTGCCAGCAGATGCAACGTGCCGCGAAGGAGCTCGTGGCAGACGAAGCCGTCGTTGACGAGACACGGCGCGCGGCAGCAGTGCGGTGGCTGTTGTGGCCGCCCGCCGTGTGGGAGGTGTGGAGAGCTGCGCAGTCGCCAGTGAAAGGCAGCACGTCGACCTTACCTCTGCACAACCCACTGCTCGTAGTGGCGTTGCTGCGTGCATGGCATCGCGGTCGACATGACCAGCGCGATCAAGAGCAACCACCGCGTGGTTCTGCTGTCGCGAACCTGGTGACGGTGTACGCTGAAGCCATCGCCGTGCTCGACGCAGCGGAGGAAACGACAAGAGGAGAAGAAGAAAGGCAGCGGGTGACGTCTGCGGGGATCGGAAAGTGGTCTCTCATGCACGTTTGGCAGCACATCGATGCGTACGTGCACACGGGCTGCGTGTATGTACGGGGAACGGCAACGGAGCAGCCGGTCAGCTGCGGCGCGGTGGTGGGGGGTGTCTCGGTTGTGATGGAGGCCTTTCTGCAGCTTATCTCCACGGAAGACGCCCGCCTGCGACGTCGTCGTGATTCCGCGGCGTCAGCATCGCAGGCGGCGGCGTCGCCCACCGCGTCGGACTCGCTGGCCCTCAAGGCGGTTCTTCGGCGTTTGCGACCGCATCTGCTGGAGGAGGAGGAAGAAGTGGAAGACGAAACCGTCACAGCAGCAGCCCCGACTTCCGCCGTTGCCGTGTTTCCACGTCTCATGAGGGGGGCGACGCACCCGTGGAGCGCCTACCTCCCTCGGCCTCACGGGCAACAAGACGCCGCGCCCCACGTGCACAGCTACGGGGAGGACGACTGTCATCGACAGCGACCGCCACTCGCGCTAGCCGCCACTCCGTGGCACACCCTTCTACACGTCCTGCATCTGTGCACGGCTGGCCTGCTCGACCGCAGCGCGCACAGACGGGCGCGACGGGCAGTCCCGACGGCAGCCGCCATGGCGTGCGTCGCACAGAAGCTTGCGTCGCTGCGTCAGCTTCAGACCGAACTCGAGAGGAGCGGATTTGATCACCGCGGCTCGGTGCACGACTCTGCATCGACAACGCCACCGCTGCTATCCTTCGAAGACGGTCAACGGATTCTGTGCTGGCAGCTGCGACGGCTTCAGCAGATCCGCACCCACGAGAACGCGCTCGGCTGGACCGTGGAGCAGCAGCGCCAGTGTCAACGCGCACAGCAGCACCTGCGGGCTTCCGTCACCTGCGTTGCGTCGTTGGTGCACGTTCGCCAAGCAGCATCAGCGAGCAGGCAGCGGTCTGCATTCAAAACGGCTCGCTACAACGCGGTGGAGGCGGCTACGGCAGCATGTTTCTACCCCCATCTGGAGATAGCTCTTCCGCTGACTACAACCACACCGCACCGCAGCAGCCTCGGTGCAGACGCAGGCCGGTCGGGTGCGGTGGCGGACGGGGACGTACGCGACGAAGAGGAAGAAGTTGTGACGACGTTTTCGACGCACAAACGCGTAGCGGGGGTTGCCTCCATAGCAGCAGCGTCGGCATCGTCTGGTGTCATTCGAGATGAAGCATCCGCCACTGCTCTACTGAGCAGGGTCCGTCCCTTCCTGCACCTCTGCACTTCAGCGGAGAGTCCCGCCGCCGAGAAAGACCGCGTGGCGTCCTCTTACCGGGCTTCGAACGCGCAGCTGCAGGCGGACTACGCGGTCCTGCACGCCTATCTCGCAGCCGTGCTGGGCGGCGTTGCACAGCGCCGGCGGCACAGCGATCCAACACTGCTGCTCGATTACATCACCGGAGCGGAATCAACGCGTGTGCTGCACGAGGTGAAGCACTCCCCCGCCGAGGTTGTGGCGGCGCTAACACGAGTTCTCATGCACCTTGTGCACCTTCTCTCCGTGGATCCGTTGGAGCTCACGGCAGGGGAGAGAAGCGCCATTGCCGAGGCGGGACTTCGTCTTTGTGTGGCGCTGCAGCCGTGGATGCCAGTGCATCGCCGACTTGAATCTCTCATGTCGCTCTGCCAGCTTACCGACGCCTCTCTGGTGTTGGCGCTGTGTGTGGTAGACGCAGCAGCAGCCGCAGCTCCGCACCAGCTGAGTGATGCAACGCAATCTACTTCCTTCACCGTGAGAGCGAAGAATGTTGCGATGCAGCTGGCGTCGTGCGTGGTGGACGACCTTGTGCAGCACCGACAGGCGGAATCGCTGTCCAGCCGCGGCATCGCGATACTCGGTGTGCTGCATCAACGCCTCGCACACGTCGCGCATACAGCTGCGCGCCCAGTCACCACGAGCCGACATAATCAGGTTCACAACGCTGGCGACCCACCCGCCCATGCGCAGATGTCGGTAGACGGAACGAAGCTGCTGCGGCGCGTGCTGCACTCCTGCGCTGTCCTGAGTGAGCGAGAAGCCGCCGAGGTGCACCAGGCATGGCGCTCCTACACGTGCGACAAGGCAGCGGCAGCGGCAGCGCGGGTGAGCGAAGCGGGTGTGCCCGACGTCGCCTTCTGCGGCGTGGATGTCATCCGGGGGCTCTACGCGGGCGCGCTCGATGTGGTGCGCAGCGGCGGCGGTGCGGCAGCGGCGCAGATCAACGGAGAGGTCTTTGCCTGCGCCGTGCGTTGGCGGACGTGGTGGGCGGCGAACGAGTACACGACGGGCGGCACAACGCCTTCAACGTTCGCCGCGGTGGCACACATCCACGTCTTGGAAGATCTTCTGTGCCTTGTGCTGCTTCACCAATCTGGCAACGCCATCCACCGCAGTGCGCACCGTGCGTGCGGTGAGATCTATGCGAAGTATGTCACGATGCGGAAAATCTGTGGGGCCTCGTGCGACCTCACGAGTGCGGGCGAGTGCAGTCCTGCCGCCGCTGTTGCGCTCCAACTAGCGATTGCTGCGATGCTGCTCCCATCTGCGCAGGTGTCTCCTCGCCAGGAGGAGGAATCGAATAGAACGCGATCTGCGGTAGCGCTTTCGGCTGCGCATCTCGTTCAGCTGCTCACTGCGGTGCCGCTCCTACGCGAGAAGTTGTGTCAGGCGACAGGTGCCGTACGAGACACAGAAGATCATGAGACATCGCTGCTTACCCTGCGGGTGGACCCGCACGCGGACATCGAGCGCATCTCCGCGCACCTTCTTTGGTCAATGAAGGAACAACATCACCCGATGCGCGACGTGAGTGGCAGTGCATCCACGACGACGACGACGCAAGACTTTCCTCGCTCTCCTCTGCTGGGTCGCTGGGAGGCGATGGTAACCCCGCTGCGTGCGCTACGCACCGCCGCAGCAGCTTTTCACGGGGGATCCGTCACGGTAGAAGTACGCAGCACGGCTGGCGGGTTAGCGTGCCGGCCGGTTGGACGCCGCACCGGTCCAACGCTGAATGCTGCTCGCCAGCGCCTGCCGTGCTCCTTTGCGCCGGCCCATTACCAGACGCTACGCAGCCTCGTACATGCAGGCCAGCTGTCGTGCACGCCTCTGCCGGTTGTGTTGCACGAGCTGCTGCTGCCACTGCTCGTGTTGGAAACCAAAGCGATGAGCCGGACCGAAGGCGGTGGTGAGGCGTACCGACGACTTGCGAAGCGGCACGCGCTGCTACGCGAGGTCGCCCGCCACCTCGCCGCGCACCCCGCCTTGTACTGCAGGAACATCACTGCTCCAGGAATGAAAAAGGAGCCGTTTGCTTCGCCGCTCACACCCGCGATCGAGGCCGCGGCTCGCACCACCGTCACCGCCGCCGACATGTTGACTTCCACTCCAGATATCGCCGCCGCACACCCCGATCTGCGCGGGTGGCCAGTCGCTCTGCTGCTGCTGAAGGTACTGGCGCGACTGGACGAGCTGCTGGCGGTTCGCACCGCCGGTTTTGCGCGGCACGCAGACCCCAATGCGCCCGCCTCACGTTCTTCTGTGTCCTTCAATGCCGGTTCCGCGAACGCCTTCGCCTCGCGCTACGCCGCCTCGCTGGCGCAGCGGGGACGCTTCCTGGAGGACTACCTGGCATTTGCGCTGGTGGCGCGCCACTACACAGCTGGCTGGGAGCAGGTGAACGCCCCATCTAACACGCACGCTTCTTCCTCTTCTATCTCCTCTATGGACGCCGGCAACGAGGTGAGTCGTCGTCGTGGCGATGTTGATCACCGTAATGATCTCGTTGGTGCGTTCGGTGCTTTGGATTGGGCACCGCTACCGCACGCGTTGGCCGTCGCCGCCGCCCCCACCTCTGTCGGCGCCCTCGTCGCGCTGTTCCGACAGCCCGCTGCGCCACCGCACGTCTGGCCTCGCGTACAGGAGAGAGAAGGGCCAAAGGTGGGTGGCGACGAGGTGACGACCTCCGCTGCGAGAGAGGTGCGCGAGGCAGGGGCAGCGGCCGAAGGAGTCGTCGTCGTCGTTCCCGCCGTGACGGAGGCGGAGATGCAGGAGCTGCAGCGTCTCGACCGTCTCCTTGCGGCGTCAACGTAGGTACTTTCTTCCTTGATTTGCTGCACCTCACCGCTAATACTAAAGGGAATAATAACTCAAAAGTTCAAGAGCACCGGTGATTCCGTTGCCTTCACCGCACAGACTTTTCTGGGGAGAAGGAGGCGTAAATATATACATATATATAAATGGATAAACTGCATGTTTAACAGCACGCACGGGTTCAGACGTTCCCATGCTTCTCCCTTCCACAGCAGCACTGAGCCACTGCACTCGGCGACGGCGCGCTGTCTCGGGTGCAGCAGGGCAGCCGTTCTCTCGCTTTCCACCGTCGTCTCTTTCCTTCTTCCCCTCCGTCTTCATACTCGATTCGAATTGTAATCTCTCGGAAGATGCTGTGCGCTCCTTCTTCTCTTTTCTTTTTCAGTAATCCGTTGACCAATCTCTTCAATTGTTTGTAACATTTTTTAAACCTGTGCGACAAGCATTGTGCTGCCCCCTCCTGCAAAAAGGCAAAGGAAAAAAAACCCAGCATTACGGGAGCAGCTCTGTGCTGTGGAAGGAGACCCCCCACCCCGCATTCTTTCTAGTGAGGACGGCGTTGTCTGCGCTTCGGAATAGCCATAATAACTACTGCTTTTCCCCCAGACTGCACCGCCGTGTTGGTGTGTGTCTGTGTGCGTGAGAGCGTGAGGTAGTGCACACGAACTCGCGTGCGGCCGTATCTTTTATTTCCCTGCAGGTCACCTCATCATTTGTTGTTTTAAAAAACGTGCTCCTCTGCGTTTCGCTTCTCCCTCTTCGTGTGTTTTATTTCTCTTACTTGTTTCGTTCTCATCAGTGTTCGAGTTCCTCTCATTTCCTGCTGTTCACTTGTACTCTTAACGTGAGCGTATTGTGCCGTCGTCCTTTGCCTCGGGTTTGACGTAGACAACTTCGGCTCTTTATTTTTATTGTTATTAGTTGTGGCCTTTATCGTGGGTGTGTGTGTGTGTGTTTCCTCGTGTTCGTTTGGTGGGTACGCATACGCGCCCTTCCGGTCGGAAACTGTACTAAGGTCGAGGACCACACACACACACGTATATATATAAGCTCGTATACATACACACGCAAACACTTACACGAGAAGGCCGGTGCGTGTAATGATATAATTTCTCTGCTTCCCTCCCCCCCCCCCTCCTCCACTTTTTTAATACTCTTCCTTTCTTCACTTCTCTCTCTATGTATATTCCCACTGACTTCGTCACCAGTCCGTTGCACGCTGATCTCTCATCGCTGCTGCTCGGAAATTATTTTTTTAAAAGCAGAAGGGAAAACTCCAACTTCCTCGTTGATTTGGCGCCTTCACGGAAGCGGACCTCCCTCTTGACGCACCGTGTCGTGTATCACTCCTATTATTATTACCACTACTACTCCGGTGTTGGTGTTGTTATTTGAAAAGGTGAGTGCGGTTGAAATAGTTATTTCCCTCCTCTTCCTTCGCTTTCGTTGTTGTTGTTGTTGGTGTTCTCTTCCGTTAGTGTTGTCCCTTTACGTGAAGCTATATATAAATATATAGATATATGTATTGATTTATCTTATATATATATATATAACTATTTTTGCGCGTGCGCATGCGTGGGAGTATCGCGTTGTCCTCTTTCCACGTCCTTTACATACCTTCACGCACACGCGCCTTAATATTAATTTTTCTCTTTACCCTTTTTTAAAGCATATATATATATATGAGCTCTTCTTGTCCTTCTCGTTCTCTTTCTTTCTCTCTCTCTCTCTCTTCCTCCACTTCTGCGTAACACACCTGACTTCTCAGACCTTCTATTATCTTTGTTTTATTCGTTGTCGACTAATCTTTTTCTTTCTTCTTCTTTCGATACAGGCTGGTGTTTCTTTTTCCCTTTGTTTATAATTCGTGTTTGTACGTGAGTGTATGTGGTGGAATTCGGTTTACCTCATCGTCAACGTTTGACCTCATCTGTAAACAGATATTGTACCACTTCTACGTTCTTCTACGTGCCTCACCGCACGCACGAACACACACACACACTCACGTACGCACAGAGAGGTAGCGAGAGACGTTGCATAGGCAGTACACGAGAGCGACGTTGATCCCTGCCTTCCTTCGCTGTGTTCGTTGTGCGTGGGAGTGCGTGTACGTGCACGCCTTTGGTGTAGTGCGTCACGCCGGTATCATCATCACTGTTTTCATTACTGTTGTTATTCTTCAATCTATTTATATATTTATTTCTTTTATTTACATCGGTCAGTAGCACACGAGCACGAGTAGCAGGCAGCACATCTTCTCCCGCTACAACTAGATTTTTTTCTCTCTCGTTAAGAAGCACCGCGCTTCACAACGGCAATACCTCTCTCTCTCTCTGTGTGTGTGTGTGTCTTTCAGTGGTCGTTGCGGTGGGTATTCCACGCTCTTCTTTCGAATTCCCTCCTGCAGCTTTCTGCAAGATGGCGCGAAGGGCGTCCGATGCGGCCTGGGCATTTAACACGCAAGATGATGACGCACGCGATGAGACCGCACCGAATACATTGGAAAACGCGGAGGACCTGCTGGTGACGATGAGGAACGCACGTGCTTACGCGGCAACGCCGGGTTTGGAAGGTCCGTTGCTGTCTGCAGAGACCCACCGCGGCGAGGAGGCGTTGGACAGTGGGGCACTGCTCGCGGGGAGCACTCCTGCAAACACGCCTCAGACCCTCACGGCGTCGCCCGCTCGCTCCGTTTCCTCCGCGCGATTGTCCTCTCCAGGGAATGCATCAGCCAAGGAGCGAAAGAAAAAGACGGTGACGGAGCACGTCGTACCGTCCTCTTCTGCGCACCTCACCTCGGAGGAAGGCATGCAGAAACTTTTTCTGATGAGCGCACCCGCGCTCGAAACCAGTGAGCCATCGTCTGCGTCTCTACGCGCAGAAACTGCAGCATCGCGAGCAGCAGCAGCAGCAACAGACACGAAGGGGGAGGACGACGGCAGCAGCAGTGCGGACATGGCCGCGGTGACGCTCTCGACGCCGCTGCGTGAGCTGGTGCGTGGCGCGGCCCTTCGCGAGGACGCCGACGCCCCGCTTTTAAACATTCCGGAGGACTTCACCCGAAGAACCGCCGCAGGTGCGGCGCGTGGGGAGGCGACGAGGATGGAGGGCAGTGGCAGCCGGCCGTACACCGGCAGTCATCGCAGCGACGCGACCATCAGGCCGGTGTGCACGCGCAACACAGCGGCAACGGAAGCAGCGATGAGGACGGCGGATATTACGTCGCTGTTGGAGGCCACTCGTGCCGTGGCGGCCACGCTGATGGTGGACCCGGACGCACCCCGTCCAAGCCGTGCTCACATGCTAAAACAGATAACACACGCCACCACCACCACCACAGTAGCAGCCACAGCAGCACCACCAGCGCCGTCGACGGCAGCAACCGCGGCGAAGAAACCCGCGGAGACGTCGACGAAGAGAAGACGCGAAACAGCGCGAAAAGATATCACCACGAGGCCCACCGCCACCGTCGAGGGAGACGAGTTAAGGCTCTTTCCACCTTCCCCTTTCGCTCCCTCTCGAAACGACGCCGCAGCATCGCAGGTTGACGCCAACGCGGTGACGTCCTCCTCTCCGGCGTCTGCCCTCCAAGCGGAAAGTGCAGCTGTGTCTGTCGTGGCGTCTCACACCCCGACCGCCGCGCCGCCCGTGGCGCCACGTTCCGCCTCTCGCATGAGATCGCTGACGCTTGCGGTGGCGAACTCCCTCTTGTCGGCCGGCGCCTCCGCCGCGGCTGTGAGCTCCGACGGCACGGCCGTGACAAGCCTCCCACCACCGGTCCCGCCTCAACACGCACACGTGAAGCAAGCTCCCAGCAACAGCAGCACCGGTTCGCGTCAGTCGGGAGGCACCCCGTCGTTTTTCACGCCGCACTCTCCGCTGAGCCCTAGCCTGGCGTGGCCGCCTGAGCGTAGCTTCGCGCCGTTTTCCAGCGGTAGTCCACTGGAGGCGACGAATAACTCGCTCATACGCGGACAGGACTCACCGGAGCGTCGCCCCTCCACGAGCAGTCGGCTTCCAGTGCAACAGCCGCAACAACATTATGCGTCCTTGTCGCACATGGACCGCGACCGCCCGATACCGCGCACAGCGAGTGCGCTGTCCAGCGGCGAGCGTACCGACGCCCCGCTTCACTTTGAGGACCTCCTTGACGGCAATACGGTCACCTCCTTCGATGAGGAGATGGCGCGCGAGTACGCGGCGGAGGCAGCCACCGAGGGGAACGACGAGGAAGACGAGGAAGACGAGGAATACGACGCCTTAAGAGAGGAGGGCAGCGTGCGGGAGCGGATCCGCCGCCGTGGCAGCAACGCACGGCGCAACCTCAGCATCTCCTCCCGCGGCAGCCGCCTCGCCCGCAGCCGCGGTGGCGGTGGCCATTTAGTGCCCGTGGCGCCGCCGTCGGACCTCCCGCACGACAGCCTGCACAGCGCGGAGATGCCCGACTTTTCGTTTGAGAGCGGCGACGCGGCAGTCAGCTCGGCAGCGACAGCGGCAGCGGCAGCGCTCATCGCCGCGTGGCGGGTGCGGTCTCTGCAGTCCGGGCGCTCCTCGACCCCCTCGCAGCCTGGTACAGTGGACTCCGCCTCTACGTCCACATCTTCGCAGCCGCTTCAATTGTTAGCCGCTGCCGGGTCGACAACACCGATTGGATCGGCTGTTATGATGGTCGGCAGCGGTTGTGGAGGTGGATCAGCCAGCCTTTCACCGTTGTGGGGCCGCACCTCTGAATCCGCAGCAGCAGCAACAGCAGCTCCGTTGCCTCGCCCACTGCGTGAAGAGGGTCAACGCCTGCTTGCACGGGCGGCGGAGCAGCAGCGTCCCCCTTCCGGTCTGCACGCCTTCCGACCACCGGCACCGCCACACGGAACCAAAGCGGGAGAGAAGGGCGACGGCAGCAGCAGCCGTCATCCTCCACCTCCGCCTCCTCCGCCTGGCGGTCGCAGCGCGTTTTGTAGAGAAATCCGCGATGTGCTGGACAGTTCTTTGAGTGCGCCGGAGATGCCGGAGGTGCTGCCGTCCGCCACGCCGCGCTCGGCGACGGAGCCGACGAGTTGCATCGCAACCGCTTCGAACACGCCGGTCACGATGCTGAGCCGCACTGTCGGCGGCGGCGGCGCCGCAGGAAGGAGAGGCGGTGGGCAAAGTGGTGTGAAGGACGTGGAACACCTCTTGCCGAGTTCGGCCGCCTCCCATCTTCTTCAGCAACAAGCAACCCCGCTTGTCTCGGCGAGCACCCTCGCAGCTGCCGTGCCGGCAACGACGCACCCCTCCACGGCGCGTGCGCAGAGTGGCACCGCTCCCACGTCCGCGTCGCCGCTGCTGCACGTTGGCTGCCGTCCCCCACGCACTGGTCCGTGGGCGACGGGTAAGGTGGTCCGCCCGCCTCCGCTGTTACTCACGCAGCGATCGTCGGCGAGTTCCACCGTCCGTACCGTCTCTGGTGCCGAGTCTCCACACGCCGAAAACTCTCCTGAGGTGCCTCAACACGACAGTGACACTGCGACGCGGATGAGCGCGACGGCTGCGCTGCCCAACAATCCATCCTCGACTGCCCCACCAACACACGGGGCAGGGCATCCAAGGCCAGAGCACTCAGTAGAACAATCTTTGTTGGCTTCTTCAGGCGACTCCGCAGTGGAGGTGACGACAACGGCGACTGCCGATGCCACTGCTGCTGCTGCTGCTGCTGAGGTGAAAGTGAAGCCGCCAAGAGCTCTCTTTGCTTCTTCACTTACGCGGCCATCACCGGACACCGTGTTCATACCGGAGGGGCGGCCCCTCGGCGACGGGATGGTGCAACCCAGCTCATCTGGGCTGTGCGACACAGGTCTCGTCTCCCCGTCCACGGCGGTGGAGAACGGAGGGGAGAGCCAGCTACTAGAGGACAGTCTACCCAGTCGCAGCAGCGAAGGCGCTGAAGAGCTGTCTTTGTTGTCGCCCTCCTCGCGGCTATCGGCACCGACGTCTTTGCTGGATCGGCAGGACGTGTTGACGTCGCCGGTGTCGGTTACCACCACCGCCTCCCCCAGCTCGGTGCTGCCTAGCATGGTCGTTCCACTCGCTCCGCTGAAAACCCATGACGGCGCGGGGCGACACAAGGCAAAGGAGACCTCCGCAGCAGCGCATCTGACTCGCTCGTCAAGTGCGGTGTGTGAACGCGCCTCCCACGCGTCTCTGCCGCGGAGCCGCAGTGCAGACGACGCGCTGGCCGGGCAGACTTTCGAGTTGGCGGTCGCAGCGGCGCAGCCCGCAACTGGGCGAGACGGTGTTCCTCCTGACGCTGTAGGCGCAAAGGCTGTGAAGGTCGCGAGCAGCGCCGAGGTGGGCGAAACGACGTCCTCCGAGAACGACAAAGGCAACAACGCAAAGACACGATCGTCAAAGCGGCACTTCCGATTGCTGTGGATTCTCCTGCCGTACGGCGTCTTTGTCGCGATGCTCGCGGTCGGCATGTTTGTCGCTACGCACGTGGTCGCGCAGGAAACGGTGTCACACACGTGGAGCGAGCTGCACACGTACATGCGCGACGAGCTTGTCGCTTTCATGGAGGAGGTCACTTTGCTGCCCGTGATGTCGGGAGAGATGTTGACGAGTCAGCGGACACGCAACGCTGCCCACCCGCGGCCAACCGACCCACGACGGCCGCCGATCGTCAACGTTTCTCGTGGCCTTTGCGCCGCGTTGAAGTACACGGATCTAGGAAAGCTGATGGTGACCTTGACGTACGTCTCCCTCAGCAGTGCAGACGCGACGAACAACACAGCGGGCGGTGCTGCAACTCTGCAGCCACACGCTCGACGGACGGAGCTGGAGGGGGATGCAGATCCAAAGGAACTAACTTTACGGACGCGGCGGAGCGAAACGGACGGGTCGGGCAGCGACGCAGGGGCCAGCGAGGTGGAATGGCGGACCGCCTTTGCGTTCTGCGATGCGAGCTACTCCGCCGACTACTTTTTGGCGGGCGCACGCGAGGCGGTGCGGGCACGTCAGCGCGACGAAGGTGAACTCAACAAAGCAGCTGACTTCTACTCCATCAACATGTTGACGATGGACGTCGTGCAGCCGCCTGTCAAAATGAGAATCGCACGGTCTCCCCCGCACTTCGACGGCAACGCCGCCGCACGCGTCGCGCACGTGCTACCGATCGTGCAGGCGTGGAAAGCCGCCGTGGAGAGAAACGACGGGTCGGAGTCGAGTGTGGAGCGGTGGTTGATATCGTCGCCTGGACCTCTTGCGAGTCCACATCTGACGTACGTCCACCCGTTCTACGAGTACGGGCGAGCGGAGCCGTCCGCCGTGTGGTGTCGCATGAAAGCAGCGGCGCTGCTGCGTAGTTATGTGAAGCACCAGCAGCTGCAGCACGCGCACTCCCCTTCCTCCATTACGGCGAAGGTGATGCTGCTCGTGCCGCGTCGTCAGCAGCCGCCCCCGCAGCTCGGCGGTGTGCGTGACAGGGTGCTGCGTGGGGTGTCGGACGCACCGATAACTGAAGCGGACATCATCGCGCGCAGTTGGGCACTGGATACTGGGCGAGAAGTGCGAAGAAGTTCTGGCGCATCTCCGGTTACGCCTACGCATACAACGGACCCCAGTCCAAACACGACTCCCGCTGCACCACCAAGAGCACTCGACGAATGTGCGGAGAACATCACCGACCGCGGCCACGCACCGGCAGCGCTGTCGTCGGAGCTGCGCAGCTTGAGATGCGAAGGCGAAGACGCAGAACACACTGCCACGTCGTCACTATCAGCAGCGGCAGCAGACGGTGCTGATGGGGGGGTGTCGGACCACCCAGGATGGCTGCCATGGCTCGTGCACGATGCATCGCCGCTGGCGGGGCCCCGCCTCGACGATGTCGGCGATGCCCTAATGCAGGCCGCGTTGGGCGTCGTGAACGTGTCAGCCTACGCGGCGGAGATGTACGAGCGGCGTGGCGCACCGTTTAGCCCGGGAACGGCGGTGGCGAGCGATGTCCCTCCGCACACGACCGCACGTCACAGCGAAGGGGGATCGCTGCAGGGTGCGGGGCAGCGCACCGTAATGCCTGCTGTATTCCGTGAGTTTTACTTTGCTGGGCAGCGCGCTGCGGTGAGCGTGGCTGCGGTGCAGCTGCAGTCGAACTTCTCTGTGATGATGGTCGTCGTCACCCCGCTCTCTGCTGCCGAGGGAGGCCGCTGCGAAACGATGCAGCGCTATCTCACCGTCATCGCGGTGGCCGTGGCGGTGATGTGTTCCACGTTTCTAGTCTTCTTTGTGCTGACCTGCTACGTGCAGCTGCCTCTCATTTCGATTCAGCAGGAACTGGAGCAGATGGTGGTGCTGCACAAGCGCAAGGCTGCGGCGCCGCCGTTGTCGTTGACCGCCGACGAGGTCGTGAATGTCTCCCCGCTGAGCTTAAGTGGCGTGGCGAAGCAGGATGCGGCGATGGCGGAGTCGGCGTCGAAGTCGGGCGAAGGCCGGCAAAATGAAGAAGGAGGTGTGGAAAAGACGAAGGATCATCGTGCCGCGGCAGAGAGCAACGACACGCGGGTGGTGGAAGAGCGTGTCCGCAACACCGCGGCTCTTCCTGCAGAGGACCCAGCAAGGAGGCAACCCGCACTGGACAGGGCAATGACCGAGTCCTCAGGAGTGTACGGTCCAGAGCGTACTATTTCCTCTTTCCCTCGACGATTGCGCCTGCGCCTCCTCCCCTACGCTCACCGGCTCCTTCACTGTCTTACCCAGCTACGTCTTTCGGAGATGGCGGAGCTGCAGGATGTGAGCGCGGCGCTGCGCCAGCATGTGCACGAGATACAGCAATACATTCCCACGCGCTACACCTTCGACGACTCCGCTACGGCGCTGCTGCCGTCGTCTTCATCGCCCCTTACGGGGAAGTCTTCTAATGCCACTACTACGACTACGACTACTACGATGACGGCGGCGGCGGTAGGGAACACCGCGCATCCTCGCTCATCGCCCACCTTGCCGACTCTCGCTGGACGCACCAGAGCGGCCCCTCGCAGCGCAGCAGCGACAGCGCCGTCACGGCGCTCGTTGAGCCCACCCGTTCACGCGCAACCAGAACCGGAACTTTTCCGCAGCAGCAGTGCTGCACCGGCTGACCAAGCCATCGCCGTCAACGCGAAAGACAGTCGCACGGACAGCAGCAGCAATGACGGCAGCGGCGGAGGGGTCAGTGGTGGGAGTGCGCTGGACTCGCGTCTCTCCGCCACTGTGCGGATAGCTGAGACGCATGGACGTCTTGGCATCCTCGGAGACTTCAGTCAGTCCTATACCTTGCTGCATCCTCAAGTCAGCGTCGGTGGGTCGGGAACGGTACCGGCTGCGAGGAGCACCGCAGGAGAGCCGCCGCCGTCGGCCAAGTCCGTCTCCCATCCGCGGGGTTACTCAGAGGGCTCCAACACCACTCAGACCCACGAAAGGCGTTTGCAAGCGGACTCGTCCACAACGACAGAGAATACGAATGCCGCAGTGACCTTGCGTTCGTCCCGAAGCACCGCACGCGCCAGCCACAGTACGGGTTCATCTCTAGATCACACAACGCAAGAAAGGGAAGCAACCCAGCCCGACGCGGCAGCCGCATCGATGGCTGCGTTGTACGAACAGTCTGTTCCAACGGCGTGCGGCAACAGCCACGCAGGTCCTCCAAGTGACCCGGTAGACGTGCCCCACGCAGCGGCGCACGGGAAGGAGAGGCCGCAGGAGAAGCCGTGCTTAGCCCCATCACCGACACCGGCAGAAGAGGAAGGCACGCGAGAGCACGGTGGCACAGAATCTGCCACAAGGGAACGCGTTGGCCCATCTGCATCAGCGAACACGGACGATAGCCACAGAAAGAAAAGCAGTGGAAATAACCTTCCACGTCCTCCCATGGTGCAGCTACCGAATGTGCTTTCCACGTCTTCGCCACCGCAAGCGCTGTTGAGCGTCACGACGCCCGACGTCAGCGCCACAAATTCAGAAACGGAGAACGCCACTTCTATCCCCGCGTCGAGTCACCTCAGCGCCGTCGAGGAACAGGCCGCCGAGAGCTCTGACTATCACGATCCTGCAGCCTATCACGTCAGCTCCCCCCACATCAAGCGGGATGCGCGGACCTGGACGCCAAACAGCTTTTCCAAGTGCCTCTGCTCCTTGCTGTGCATTCACGTGCATATCGAGGACAACACCGACGTGCACGCGCAGTTCCCCGAGATCGTAGAGACGGTGATGGAGTGCGTGTACCGCTATGGCGGCATCTTCGACGTCCTCGTGCCGGAGATGATGTACGTCAGCTTTGGCTCCCGTGTCCAGACGAAGGACCACGCCTTGCTTGCCACGCGGTGTGGCATCGAGATTTTTAGCCGCCTCTCCACCCGTGCGCTGCGTTACATGACGTTTGTGGTGGACACGGGTGTGTACACCGTCGGGGTGTGCGGGGTGCCGGAGCACAAGGAGTTCGTCCTCTTCGGGCGACCGTCGAGCGAGATTTTCTTTGAGCAGCAGCTCCAGTCTGGCTTCCGCTTCCTGGTCACCGACTCGGCGGTTCCGCTGATCCGCCAGCACTTCCGAATGCTGCCCATCGACGTCATGACGGTGGTGGAGGAAACGGGGCAGCCAAACATCGTCCTCTACGTCGTGATGGTCGGCTCGGTGCACGAGCCGTGGTGGGAGGACTTCAGTCAGCTGGCGCACGAGGCTTTTCTGAACTTTATTCGCGGCAACTTCGAAGCCGCGTGCCCGCTCTATGAGCGGCTTCTCCACTCCTCGTCCGTGACTCTGACGATCCTCTTTCAATACCTCCTGGTGCATGAGCGCGTCCTCACCGAGAACAAAGCCGGTCTCTCGCCGACCGAGCTGGCCCGGCAGCTGGATGAGCTGACGGTTACGTGCGTGAACGAGCTGTCTCGCGAGCGCGACCCCATGGTGGAGCCCTTCGGTGCCGCGATGCCGTGGCTCGTCTGCCGACCCGAGCTGCACCGCCACTTCTCCGACGAGGACGGAGATGACGAGGCGCCGAAATCGATCACAAGTGCGACCAGCTCCAGCGGCAACGGCACCGCCAGACGTAGACGAGGCAGGAGGGTGTTTGCGTCCCTCACCTCGCCGATGCGGGCGGGCGCGTCGGCCACACAGCAGCGGCTGCGTCAATCGAGGGCTGCCGGCCTCACGACCGCAACAACATCCTCCGTGTCCATGGTGTCGCCGAGCACACGCGGACCTAGCACGTTTGCCTCGTTATGCGAGCGCACGCCGACTACATCAAAGAGTGGCAGATCGGTGAGCGCCACAACGGCGACTGAGTCCAGCGTGGCGGAGGCGGCGATGGCTGCTCCTGTGGCTCCTGCGACCGACACCTCTGTGGAGAGTGCAACGCAACGCCGCAACCGCAGTCTTTACAAGAAAGACTCGAAAGTAGAGGACTGCGTGGATGATGAGATGGTGAAGGTTGCGCTGGGGGACGGTGAGGATGATGATCGCATTGTGGGGCCCAAGGCAGACTTCAACGGCATCGCGTTGCGGGTGCTGGACCTGTCGAAGCAGCTCTGGCAGCTGTCCAACACCCCCATCGGCGGTGCGGCCGCCGTCGCGCGTATCGACACCTCGCTCTCCTTCGTCGGTATTTCCTCCAACGGAGCGATGGCGGAGATTCAGGTGTATGCGGTGAAGGTGGCCCCGCAGACGGTGTCGACGTGGAGCTGCCCCTCCTTGCTGCCGCCGCGGCCCGGTGGTGTGCAAGGGGGGGAATGCACGCTGCAGTCGACGTCGGTGTCCCCGCCAGCGGCCGAGGCACCGACCACGACAGCAGCAGCGGGCGACGGCGCCAGGAAAGCATCCACCGACGCGGTGCCCGCGTCAGCCGTGGTGTCGCTGCGGGAGAAGGAGTCCCTCCACCGCATCGCGTTTGCCCTGCCGTCGCAGGTGCGCGCCCGACAGGAGGACGCACCGCATGCCGCGAGTCCGTTCTCCTCGCCCAATTCCCCCGACCGTGGCGACTGCCCACGACGCGCTCGCGAAGAGATGGACGGCGACGAGGCTGGAGAAGGTGAAGAGAGCCGCCAGAGCGCCGCCGCAAGCGCAGCGCTGCGTTCTCGCTCTGCTGATCTGTCCCTCACGGCGGGGACCAACGAGGCGCAGCAGGTGGAATCGGATACAACGGATCCCACAGAGCCGGCTGCTCGTGGAGGAGGAGGGGGGGGAGGAGAGAAGGGGGAGGAAGCGCACAGCACGTCGGTGAACGTGGACCTGGCGGCGATGGACGCCGTGGCCCGCTGCTACTGCGAGGGCAACACGGTCCAGCTCCTCTCCATGGCCGTCACCCCGACACACGTCTACACCATCATGGAGTGGGTCGCCGAGCAGACCCTGCGCAAAACGGTGAGCCGATTTGGTAGCCGTCTCGCGCTGGCCTCGACGCGGAAGTGCTGCGTCGCCGCTCTGCGTGCACTGGATCACCTCCACAACTCCCGCGGCGTCGTGCACGGTCGCGTGCATCCGGACAACATCCTCTTCGGGGTGGAGGGCAACTGCAAGATCACAGGGATGCTCTACCTGTATGAGTGGGCCCTGCCAGACCCCGCCTTGTACGCGACGCTGACGCGGGTGGCGGCGGCGTACTGCAGTCCAGAGGTGAACGCGGGCGAGGCGCCGACGCCGGAGTCGGACATTTACTCTTTCGGTCTTCTGCTGTTGCAGATGCTGGCGGGGGAGCTTCCCTGGACGTGGACTGGCACCACGCCACAACAGCCACAGCAGCCGCAGCAACAGCGCTCGGACACGAGTGGACCGGAGCTACGTTGGATACTGCAGGACAACAAGACTTTTATCGAGGCCGTCAACGGAGGCGAGATAGAACTGCGGCAGTACGGACGTGAGAGAAATCAGTATAACGTGTCGATGGAGGCCGCGCTGCGGCGGCAGCTGGATCACGTGGGTTGGCCCCGCAAGACGGCTGCGACGACGGCACGCAGGAAAGCGACAGCTGGACCAAACAAAGGCAGTTTGGGAAGGGAAGAGCAGGCAACGGACCCGGTGATGTTGCGTGTGCTGGAGAGCTGCCTGGCTTATGAGCCGTCGCAGCGCAAAGGAGCGGCGGAGTTGCTGAAGCTGCTGTGCGAGATGTAAAGCATTTTTTTCTTCTTCTTCTGTTCTTTTGCGGCTCGCTGAGGCGACGCAGCCGTGAAGGCAGAGAGAGCGACACTGTAAGGCAGAAGAGAACTGCCTACCCCCTTTACTGGAGAGAAGGGTGGGGTGGGGTGGGGGGGGGGGTGTTTTAGACCGTGAATGCAATACGTCTATGCGTCTCTCTCTCTCTCTCTGTGTGTGTGTGTGTGGCTCCGCCTTATTGGAAAAATGAAGGATGTAACTATGAAAAGGAAACCTATCAAAACACATATATTGCTGCTCTTTTTCATGGCGGCGCTTCCGCTGGGCCTCATCTGCAATTACTCGGCAGTCTAAAGCAGTTCACGGTATTATATATATGTACGCGGCAGCGTGCGAAAGCGCCACCTACAACTTTCAAGCATTATTCAACTTCCGTAGCTGAGGCGTACGGGCAGAGACATGCCGTTTGACGCTGATGTTCCAGAGCAGTGGGAAGAAGAGGAGGGGACTCGGTGCAGCCTTCTCTTCCCTCTTCGTCAATGTCCCCCGTTCTCGCTTCCCTGCTCTCACCTCTTCCTCATCCCTTCGTCATCATCACAGAAACGCGCGCGCGACGAGCCGCCTCACCTGGAAGATAATAAGAAATATATATATCGACAACTACACCCTTCGACAAGCGATGTCGTCAAGGCCGTCCGCGGCGAACACCTACACCCGCTCCGCCATCCTGGCGTGGGCGAATGCCGTCTTGCAACGGTCACACCTTACCTTCCACGACATCCCGTGCCACGATGTCGCGTTGCTCCTGTTCGGCATTTTTCACGCCACCGACGTTCAAATCGAGTCGTGCGTCAGCACCAATGACGCGGTCGGTGTGCCGCTGCTGTCCGCTGCGGAGCTGCGCAGGCACGATGCAGTGCACCGCGTCACGTGTCGGCGATACCTGCAGCTCCTCCAGTTTCCACCAGCAGTCACAACGACAGCAGCAGCAGTAGTGGGTAACGCCTCCAGCGCGGCGTCGGTGTCTTCTGCTGTCGCCGCATCCGTTGTCGCCTCGGCGGAAGACCGGAGTGGCAGCAATGCGGTGACGCAGCTGCGAAACGCAGAGCACGTTCTCGCGCTGATTCGCGCGCTCAGCTCTGAAGAGGCGGAGCAGCTTCGTGCTGGCAACTCCTGCTCGGACGGGCCGAAGGAGCAGGACGGCGACATCGACGCAGAGGGCGCGGTGAACACCGGAAATGCCGCCAACGTGGTGCTTCTCCTCGGTCCGTCCATGACGGCCAACGCGTGGCTCGGTGGCAACGCCTTTGTGGAGGAGCTGAAGCTGTGGCGGTGGGTGCGGCTCATGGCGGACCGTCACCGATGCACAGTGACGTCCATTCGCACCACCATCGCAGCGTACCTCCAGCACGATGTCCTTGAACCGCTGCGCGCTGTTCCGCCGACGGTGTCGTCGTCATCGTTGTTGTCCACCGTCTGTGGGACAGCGGGAAAGCGTTCTCGGTCAAGCTCGCCAGAGCCAACAGAGGAGCAGGATGAAGGGGGAGAAAAAGAGCACGCTGAGGACTCCTCCATTGGACAGACACACACGGCGACGGGCCGTCACGCAGATGGGCTCAACGTTTCAGAGAACACCGCGGAGGTGCAGCAACAGCAGCGGCGGCGGCTTGATGCTTCCCAACCCCCCGTGGCTCCGCTCCTCACCTCCACAGCATCTACAACCCCGTTCTACGGGTCGGTGTCTCCTGTACATGCGCTGCTCTCGCCCATCCGCGGCACCGACCGACACGAGCGCGATGACGGCGAAAGCCTCTCCTGCTCTTCGACCTCCGCCGCCGCAGCAGCGCTCGCCCTTCACGAGGCAACGGAGGCCACGACTACCTCGTACGTCGCACAGACGCTCCCGCTGCAGAACGCGTTGCGTGTGGCGCGGTCAACGTTGGAGTGCACGCTTCGCGACGCCGCCACCGTGACGGCCGCTGATACAGAAGTCGTATCGGCACACTCCTCCACCGGAGCAGCGGAAAACCTGTGTGACGGTGCTGGCCAGATGTCCCTCCACCCTTCTGCACCGCCGGCTGTCCACAATAACGGTGAAGCGCAGGAGGTGCTGTGTCGTCGGCGGATGGTCGAACACGTCTTTCCGGTCACCGCCATCACAGATGGTCGTGCACAAGCGGACACGCGTCGTGGCAGCGGGGGAAGCGGTGGTGGTGCGGTGCCGAACTCGTCTGCGTCTGCGCTCACGGCGCCCTCCTCTTGTTGTGTGTGTCCGGCCGTGATGGCGCACGCTATTCAATGTAACTTGAACGCCATCGATGCGTTGGAGGAGGCCCGAGTGAAGGCGATAGCGGCGTGCATGAAGAAAGACCCGGTGGCGCTGCTGGCTGCCCTGCAGAGTATTGTGTGAGCCGCACGCCGAGTGCTTCGACTCTGTGGGTGATATCCATATATTCCTCTGTTCTTTTTTTGTTTGGTTTTAGTTTTACTCTTACTGTTTTCGTTAGATGCGTATATTTACATTTAGATCTCCAGAATACGTGATGTCATGTCTCTTCATGTTGTTGTTTGATGCTGCCTTATTGTCGAAGCGCGGAGAACAGCAAGTTTACACAAGCAGTGTGATACAAGCTTGTTTAGGCCCGTGTATTTATTATTATTATTATTATTATTATTATTATTATTCAACATAGAAGATGCGCGCTTCCCGTGTCTCGCATCGTCCGAAGGCTCCTACGTCACCCTACCTCAAACGAAGAAATGAAGAAGGCACTGTTGGACCAGCAGCCGCGGAGCGCATCCATGATTCCTGCTTTGCCGTCCTCCCGGGCGCTTGCACCGCGCTGCACCAGCAGTGCTTGTTGGGATGGTGTTCGGTTGACGGTTTCCATCAGCGACGCCTCCCTCCCCGCTTCCGTCCGCCTCCATCTCAACACGCCTACTCTCTTCCCTGCCCTTTTGTCTCGCCGCGTTTCTTGTCACCTCCCCTCACCACGCTCGTGTTGTGTGTGAGCACCCGCTGCAGCAGAGGTGTTAGAACGCACCTCGCCGACCGTCTCATCAACAAGTAAAAAAGGTAAGAGGTAGAAGAGAGAGAGAGAGGAAGAGCCACGGTGCTCCACAGCAGCGGTGCCGGCGACGTGCCTCTCCCTTGCGTCCGCAAGCAGCGACAAACTGGCAGATTAGCTCCCTCGTAGCCTCCGTAGCAACTCCGTAGACGTGGCAATATCTAGCAAAAGCAATCTCATCAAAAGTACTCCTTTTTTTTCTTAGTAGTAGTTCGTGCACTTCAGCGTAGTTACAATTTATCGTACTCCTTTAGAGTTCTCTTTCTCTCCCTCTGTTGAGCTCGCCACTTGCATTACCCGCTTCCTCGTCTTGAAGCACGCAGACACACCCACACACAACGAGGAAGAAGAAACAAACAAAACATGCTGCGTCGCGGGGGCCGCACGAGCGCCTTCGCACTCACCCACAGCACCGTCGCGTGCGTGCCGGCGTTGTGCAGCGCGGCGCGCTTCATTGCAAATGAGTTTAAAGACATCCGCCCCAGCAGCGGTGGTGCGGCGCCGCCGCCGTCCATCAGCCACAACGAGCCCCTCTTGCCCATGGACTTCAACCCCCACATTGAGTGGTTCGAGTACCCGAAGGAGATCTTCGATCCGAAGTTCCCGTACACCCGTGAGGAGAGCATCCGCATGACCGAGGAGTCGTGGGAGAGCACGATGGACGAGATGGCGAGCAAGTACGGGATGCGGCTGAACATGACGACCAAGCCGACCTTCTGGCTGGCGTGGTCTATCATGTTCTTTTACAGCTGGTACACGCTGTGGGGCTGCTACCGGGCGATGGGCACGGAGCCGGGGTGGTCGCACTTTAGGAACGTGGTGCTGAACCAGCCATCGGTGCCGGTGCTGGAGGAGGACGACATCTACCTGGACCAGTGGATGCGGCCGGAGATGCGGGAGAAGTTCAGCCGCTACGACCGCTTCTGGAACTGGAAGCCGCTCGTGAACCGGGCGGGGGCGAAGACCTCGTGGCAGATCCCGATGCAGTACACGGACGAGTCGGAGTGGAAGCACATGACGAGTCGCGTATAAAAGTGGTGGGCTTTTCTCGAGGAAGTAGAAGCGAGGCGACGGGTGCTTTTTTTTTTTTCATTCACTGCTTCTCGAATTCAATAGAACACTGCTGTCTCTGCATTTGCCGACAGACGGCGCGGTGGGAGTCGCCACGCTTTGCGAATGGGGTCTTCTCATTTCATTGTGTTGTTATGTATATATATATATATATATATATACTTAGTAGCTGCTTTAGGTGTTTTGCTTTTCCTTTCCTTTCTTGTTTGTAAGGTAGCGCCGATTGGCGATGAGCGCGTCCGTCCGTCCGTCCGTGTGTGAGTGTGTGCGGTGTCTTTGGCATTTTTGTTTTTCCCCTCACCACGTTCTCCGACGTTTCTCCCTCCTCCTTTTGGATCTCGTTAGCGTTCGACGTGGCCCCTCAAGGGAAAAGAATCACGGCGGGAGGTTGATTATATTATTATTTTCTTCAAAGGCCGGACGTCGGTGCTTAGAAAGTGCATGAGCAGCCACAAAGCCAACCCGCAACGGAAGTGAGCTGGAACGTCCTCATCGCGTCACAAGAAAAGGAAGGGGAACGCGCTGCAGAGGAAGAAAACTGGTCGGCTGCACGACGCGGTCGGCGAATCGCCTAGTCGCGCCCGGCGCTCGTGTCTTACTACTCTGGGGTCATCCCCGCTGTCGTAGCAACCCAAAGAAAAGTGCCTTAAAAGTCGATTAGAAACAGAAGAGTACTTTTGGGGGAGGGGACAACTGCTTATGGTCCACGCGCAGCATGCATGCGTTCTCTCGCAACACTCCTCCACCGTCCAGCGCAAGGACGCATCGCTTCAGCGGCTTCTCCTTCACCTCTGATCTTCACCTACATCATCAGCTCTTGCATCCCCGCAACGTGCTGAACGCGCTCTTATCATTGCTGTTGTTTTATCCCGTTCTCATCGCACCTTAACAACCATATATTTATATATTCTTTCAAGGCAAGGAACGCCGCTTACCACGTATTATTATTAGTACTCAGATCGGTTTTTGCGTTCGCCGCCGCAATTCGCCAACGAACATCTCACGCGTTGGCGCGACTCTGGCGTTCACTTACTCGTATTTTTATGTAAGTATCATACCATCTAACAGCCGCAACAACAAAATGTGGTCGCACAGCGCCTCGGATGCTCTTCCAGCGAGTTCATTGGCAGAAGAAAACAGCAGCAGAGGCGATGACATCATCAACAACGGTGCTTACTCCGCCTCGCAGCCCGCACGCGCGATCCCGTGCAGCCCGGAGCGGCTGGTCTTTCTGCCGGCGCTGCTTCCACCGCCGTCGTCGACTTCTACCTCGCAGGTTGCCGCGGCGGCCAGTGCGTACGCAGGCGACGTAGGCAGCCGTCGGCGGATGCGGTGCAACGCACAGCGGCTGGAGGCGGCGCAGCGCGCGGCACACCCACACGCAGCGCAGGACACGGACTCCTCCACTGCACGCACCGCAGCAGCAGCAGCGCCGTTTGCGCTGCGCCAGGCGAAAACTGTGCCGGTTGCCTCTGCTCGAGCAGCCTCCCACAAGGCGACAGCGGCGGCTAACGCAGTGTCTTCTGCTTCGCCGTCCTCAGTGCTGTTGCGACGCACCTTCCACGGCACTACACGTGTGTTGTTTGCGGACGGTCACGTGGAGACGTTCACCGCGCCCGGCGCCGCGAGTACGTCGACAAGTATTGCGGCGGCTTCAAGTCTACCGTCCCTTGCGCACGCTTCGTCCTCCGCTGCCTCTTCCGTAAACAGGGGAACAAGGCAACGACAAGGCCGAAAAGGCGCGCGGCCTACGGGTGCGGCGGCGGAAGCGGCTGGTGCGACCAACGCCGTCAGCATCAGCAGTTGCAACCACGCACTAAGCAGAGCGCCGACGCTGCCCGCCGTGAACGAAGCGCCCAGAAGCATCCATGGAAAAGACGCATCTCCTGTCGTACTCGCATCGTACGCGAGGGCGGAGCAGGTGTACTACCCACCCCGCAACGACCACGACGACAACCGCCACTTGTCGTCTGCTGCGCACTTCCAGCAAACGTTGCCGCCGTCACGGGCAAGTACCGAGGCCGCATGGGCGCCTCCAGCTGCGACTACGACGGCAAAGGTGGAATTGTATGAGAAGGAGACCCTTTCCAACGCACTCGCCCGTCTCGGAGGTTCACAAACGATGCAGAAGCCCCCGCAGCAGCAGCAGCAGCAACTTCTGGCGCGAGAAGGAGCGGGCGCGAAGAGCGTCCGGCGCAACGAAGGCGGTGGAAACACCTTTTTTCTCACCTCTGCTCCGACGGACGCACAGCCGCGACCCCTGGAGGACGGCGCCAGCGCCAACGCGGCAATGCGTCCAGGCGTCCCCTCACTCACCTCGCCCGATTTCTTGGTGTTCCTCTGCCAGATGCAGCAAGAGCTTCGCAGTGAGCTTGCGAAGGACCAGCGCACACGCGCCGAGACCTTTGCCCACCGCTACGAGCGCAGCGCCCACGACTCCCCGTCGATCTTCTCTCTGCTCTTTCCGTTTCGTCCCTTGGAGGAAATCTACCGGGAAAGCGCGCAGCTGAGCGCTGCCTCGTTTGTGCCGGCAGACGCTCCGCGCAGCTCCCCCCGCTCCCCGAAGGGAGCGACGAACGGAGCTGCACCGGGGACCGTGGCGGGGGGCGGCGTGCCGGATGTTTTGCTCCCCGCCGCGCAGGTCACCTCCCTCATGGGCTGGACGGTGCCGGAGCTCATTCGAGAGCGTCTCCTGCCGCGTGAGGCGCCCGCCCTGCAGCACCGCTTGCGAGAGCTGCTCGCCCTGCGCGGCATACTCGACGCACCCGGCACGATGGCGTGCCGGTTTTGTGTGGCCTTTGTTTGGTTCGTGCTGCTGCGGTGCTGCAAGGCGCACCGTGAGCAAACCCTCGTCGACGGTCACCGTCGCCTCTCCAAGGCATTCGCGGATGTGTTTCCCTTGTCGGCGCGAGATGCGGTGCCTCCGCTGGACGTGCTGGGACAGCTGCTGGTGGAACTGCTCATGTGCACTCGCTACGCAGACGCGCGTGCGGAGGAGAACCACAATCTGCAAAAGAAACAGCAGCAGCAGCAGCAGGACGACCCTCCGCCACAACAGCAGCGAGAGCAGCTCACGCCACCGCTGCCGTCGCCTGTGCATGAGCAGCCGAACGAAGAGGATGACGCCGCGGCTGCCCCCGACGGCCGCAACGCGACGGTCCATCGGGACGGGCCGTACTACGCCAACGTGTCGGATCTCCTGCAGCAGAAAGACTTCTTTCCGCTTTTGACCGGGGAGTGGGCGTACCTGCTGCGGCACGCCCAGACCGCCGCCACCGCTGCCGCCGCAGCAGCAGCAGCCTCCGCCGCCGCCTCCGTGTCATCACTGACGCCGTCCTTCGTCTCTCTTTCCCACTACACGCCCCATTCACTGATGGACTTACCCACGGCAGAGCACGCGCAGCGGAAGCTGAGCATTCTCCCCTCCAACAAGGCGCTCCAGACGCTGCTCACCGTCTACCAAGAGCTGTGGCTGCTGCACCGCAAGTACGTGGAGAACTGCCTGTACGAGGAGCAGCTGTACAAGCAGCTCGCCGTCCTCTTCCGCAACGTGTGCGTGCAGGTGGCCCGCGCCACGGCTGGTCCGGCCACCTCAGACAGCAGCAACAGCAGCGCTACACCAAAGCAGCATAGCAGCAAGGCGACACGGGTGCCGGGCGCCGTTGCAGACGCCGTGGACGACGCCGAGCCCCTCTCCTCACACATCTCGATCAACCTCACGCAGCTCACCTCCTCCGGTCATCTTGCGGTGGCCTCGGCCTCCTCTCCCGCGGCGAAGGACTCCATCCTCGACAACCTCCTCATCGTCGTGGCGCACGCCACGTACTTTACGTGCGTGTTTTGCTTCCCCAACGACGTGTACGCCGGCGTGTTTGACGAGGAATTCCGCACGGACGTGATGCAGTGGCTTTCCTACTGCTGCCACGGCGTGGTGACCACGCACGTGCAGACGAAGCACTGGCCGATGCCGGTGCAGGCGGATTACGAGGCGGTGCAGGAGCTACGAAGTGCGGCGGAGCGGCGTGAGTTGGCGGCGCTGGGGCTGCACGACGGGACACCCACCCCCTCCTCCGCACCCTCGCTGTCCTCAGAGGAAAAGGACGCCTCCACGCCGTCGGCGTTTACCTTCTCTGGCGGGTCCCCGCTGGCGGAGGAGACGGTCTCCGTCGGGCGTCGCACACGAGGAGGCGGTGGAAAGCACTGGCCGAATTTCACGGCGGAGGCGGAGCAGAAGAAGCCGGTCGCGATCGCAGCGTCGTCGCCGGCGTCGCCGCTGCCGATGCCCACGGTGGTGGCGACAACGCCGGTGGCAGCGCCCGCCACCTCACCCAAGCGGGTCCACCCCACCGGCGGCAGCGCGAGCTTCACGCCGGAAGGGATGCGGGAGGAGTCGCTCGATCTGGAGAACGTTGTCGCGAACGCCGAGTTTCGCCTGGCGCACCAACTCGATCGGTACAGCCGCGCGGCAGCGCAGCACGTGGCGGAGCTGGAACGGCGCATGGCGCGGCTGCAGCGGCGGCATCGCCTGGCGAACGTCAACAGCGGTGCGCAGCGGCGTCCGCAGCGGCGTGGCTCGCATGTCGGCCGACGGGGCTCGTGTTACGGCGGCTTCTCCCGCGCGAACCTGAGCAATGCGGCGCCGGACCTGGATGAGGATGATATGTTGGGCGCCAGCGTGCACTCCCTCAGCATTGCCGCCTCGCGCTTCACGAGCTTCCGCAGGCCGACGGCGCAGCCGAACACCATTGCGGCCAAGGCGAGCTTCGCCCCGTGCAAGAGACCGAAATCCTCAACGCCGAAGAACGACAGCAACTCGTCGAACATGGCGCCGTCGTTTCCTGTGTTCGACACGGCCGCCGCCATGATGCCCTTCATTGCGCTGGATGTAGAATCCACCGTGTGTTCCTCCCCGCTCTCCGCCGCCGTGGCCGCCACACCGCAGAACGAGAAGAGGACGAAGAGAAAGCCAGACAGCATCTTCGGCAGCGCTTGCAACAATAATAACAACAGCAACAACAATAACAGCAACGTCGGCAATGGGGTTGCGTGGCGCGGCACCGATGCAGAGCAGCGCACGCCGCTCACGTCTCACCCACCGGCAGAGTCGCCGTTTAGTAATCGACAGCCTTCAACCGCCTCGAAGGCGACCTCGGGGCCTGCTGGGGTCAGCAACAATGGTGCAAATACGGCCGGTGGGGGCAACACGCAAACACGCACCGGCGGTGACCCACGCGACCTCTACCGCACCAGCGCCGTCGTCAAAGGTGATAAAAGCCTCGTCGCCCTCGCCTCGGAGCTCAATCACGGCGTGCTGCAGCCCACGACATCGACCTATTCGATGAGCAAGCCGCCGACAGACGCCGGACACGAGAGCACCAAGACGGCGGAGCACGTTTCCAGCACTTCACGCAGCAAAACTGGTGGAGGAGGCGGTCAGGACGGTGTCAACAGCAGCAGTGACAACAACGACGCTGGCGGAGGGAGCAGCTCCGATCCTCCCCAGGTGTATCGCCCCCCTCCGACCACCACCACATCTACGTCCGCTGCCTCGCTGCTCTCCTCCTACCCCCTCTGTACGTGCCCGGCGCCGATCACGGAGTACTGGCTCGCCATGTCGCTGCGTGTTTCCTCGTGGTGGTACCCGGCGACAGCGGCCGCCTCGCGCAACGCGACGCCCTTCTCTCTGTACGCCTCGCCCGCCGCAGCGGCGTTGCAAGACGGAGATGATCTCGCGCAGGGGCGCACTCCAGACAACGCAGACGGTTTGGAAGGAGAGGATGAAGAAGGACAGTCGCACCCACCACCACCACCACCACCGTTGCACGTACTCGCCCACGAGCCGTGGCGTGGGCTGTATGGCCGTGTCGTGGCCGTCCCGCCCATCAGCGGCGCGGCGCAGTTAGCCATAAAGCTGGTCGACATCCTGGCGGACTCGCTGCCCCATCAGCAGTCGCTCGTCTATCAAGCCGTGCGGGAGCAGGAGCGGCGGCAAGAGCAGCATCGCGTCGATGTCGCGCTGGAGGTGTTGGAGTGGAACACCACGAACGACGGCGCTGCTCGATCATCACAACTATCACAACAGCAACGGAATGAGTTGGTGGACGTACCAAGCGAGCTGGTCATGCGGCCGACCACCGCCCTCTTCCCTTCTACTCCATCCAACCGCATGGCCACGAGGGCTGCGGCAGAGGAAGCGGCCACCACTGCCGAGACGGCGGCAGTCTTACTAAGTCAGCCGTGCCTCGGCACCGCCACGCTCCCCGTCATTCCCCCCGTCACTTCAGGCCAGGAGAGTCTCTCGATCGCCTCTCGATCGGCCGTGTCGCAATCCGTCGCGGCGTACCTGCGCCGCCGCGGGGTGGGGGAGACCTACCAGGGCTGCACCTCGCCCTTCTTCCAGCTCTACGCGTCTACCTGCCTCGCGCTTACCCTCTCGCGGGAGGAGGTGGTGCTGCTGCGGGAGTCGCTGAACGTTGCTCGAGACAAGCGTCGAGATAAGGCGTCACTCACGAGCGGCGACGGCCTCGGCGGTGAGAACGGCGACCGTCGCAAGCGTCGCAGCATCATCACCACGTCCAACAGTCTGCTCCCTTCACAGGACATCCACGGCCAACAAGTGCTGAGCAGCTTACTCCCTCTTGTACCTCCATCGCGGCTTGCGGGGCCAAGGACGAGGTCGGCGGAGGCGGCAACACGCACGGCGGTGGCGACGACGGTGGCACGGCTCGCCAGTGCTTGCCGGCGTGGCACGTCCGCCGGCACCCGCAAGCCGCCACGCGAGTTCGCCGCCCCGGCATCCGGCACTAACGCCTTCGCCATTACTGTCATTCCTCGTGAAGAGGCGAAGCTGCGACCGCGCCGTATGCGCCCCCTGCAGGACGAGGCGTTGCGGCGCCGCATGAAGCTGCTGGCGGAGATGGAACTGATTGGCCGGCGCGATGCCGCGGCACGACAGAACTACGTCGGGCAGCAGCTGCGGCTAGCGAACGTGATGGCGCACCTCAAGACGGACACGATGCTGCGCCGCTACCGCGTGCGTGGGCGGATGGCGCTGGAACGGCTGGCGGTGGAGGACTTAGAGGGCGGTGACCACGACAAGAGCAACAAGAACAACAACGCTAGTCGGGAGATGGATGAGTGGCGCGACGACGAAGCATTTCCCGTGACCTAAGCCGAGCTCCACCCCTCTCCCTCTCCCTCCCTCGGTCTCCTTTAAAGCAGAAACAAAAGAATTCTGTTCGAGTCCTTTTCGCTTTCTACCTTCTCCTTTGTCTCCTGAGGTGCAGTCCAGCACACACACACACACACACACGCATTCACATGTATATATGTATATGATCTTTCTTTGTTTTCTTTCCTCCCCTGTCCTCCTCTTTGCACCCTTGCTGGCCTTCCTTCCCCCTTCCTCTTTCATGTATTGATTTGCCCATGTATGTTAAGTACGCTTCACCACTGACTGCGGTGTTGTTGCTGATACTATTATTCTTGCGACTTCCTTTGAAAGAAACGAAAAAGAGGATCTCGCACACACGGAGCCGTGCGGATGTCTTCAATGATTCTTTTCCACCCCCTGCGTAACCGACGTCGGCATTTATCCTCTAAGCAGCGACGCCCAACGAACGCGTCATGAAGCACGATGTCCCCTTGTCTTTGCAGTCACCATGAAGTGCTGCGAACCGCATCACTGTGTGTGTGTGTGTGGGTGGGTGGGTGTTCGTGACTGCGCTTTGCTTTTCGCAAGCTCATCTCTTTCTCTTTCTTTCCCCTCTCTCCCTGCTGTCGCCCTCCCCTCTTGCCTCCGCTGTCAGAAAGCGTGGCGCATCCCAGCACGCACATACACACCGTAAAGAGTGCGGCTTTGGTGCAATCAAGCATACGGGTTCACTCTTCCCCATCACTAGAAGTACATCTATATACATATACATTCATTTCCTAACGTTATCTTAGATTGGTCTTGCATTTTATTTCTGCGGAACGCTAGGGAATGCAGAGCAGCACGGGAGCCTCCGCCGCAGCGTCTTCAACGACGTCGTCCTCCTCGCCGAACCTTACGCGGGTATTCGCCGGACACAGCAGACAGCAGTCCACCTCGCCGCACCCTCTCCACGATGAAACCCGATCACCCGCCCTCGCAGTCCAAGATGGGACTTCAACATTCACAGCTGCAGAACAAGGCGCCGCTGTCGTGACGCATCAACGTTTGCATTCTCATAAGCGGGAGCATGAAGATGAAGAAAGAGAAGAGGAGGAGGCACCGCCTGTGGGCTCCTCGTCACGCCTCGATACCGCGATCCTCGACACTCTGCTGTGGATGAGCGGTATGCGCCGAAGCACGGGAGCCGATGCAGCGGCACACGAGACCGCTGACCTCAAATCGCTGCTGTTGAACGTCGACGCCGACACACCAGCAGCGGGGCGCACAGGGGATACTTCACCATCGACGGCTAGAGCAGGATATGCGCACACGCCGCACGACACTCCTGTCATCCCAGCCACGCAAGAGGAGCTTTTTCATGTCGAGGCATCCCAGCAACAGCAGCCGCACACCCCGGTGCAACGACGCACTCCGGCGCCGTACACCCTCACCCACAATGACCGAGAAAACTATCACAGCAACGTCGCAGTGGTCGACGAGGGGCCAACACCGCCGAGGACCAACGGGGTAGCGCTAACTGGTCCCTCGGGTCTCGTTCATACCACTCGCACCTCCCCCAGTGCGGACGCGATGGCACGCTCGCCGGTGTCCGACACGTCTGCCGCTCCGCGCGCAGGGACGGGTGGGCGCCACAACACCCACGTCGCCGGTTCGGAGAACCCCAGAGAGACCGCCTCTTTGGTGGTGGGCGGTGTGCAATGGCAGGCAGAGTTCGCCGCACACACGCAGCAGATTTTGCGCGAGACCCACAAGCAGGTCGAGGTCCTACGGGAGTACCAGGTGAGCGCCGCACGCGAGAGGCAGCGCGCCGATCAGCTCGCAGAAGCCAGGCGTGCGCTGGAAAGCAAACTAGCGACGGCAGAGCAGCGGCAGCGGCAGGAGGAGAGGCGGCACGCCGACACGGTGGGCGAACTCTCGCGGCAGGTGTTGGAGCTGGATGAGGCGGTCGCGGCGTGGCGGCGCATGCACGCCGTACTCGAAGGACGACTCGAAGCAGCGCAAAACACCGCAGTAGCGCAGCGGGCCGCGCAGGAAGCCGCCATTGCGGAGTTGACGCAACGCTATGAATGTCAGTTAACCGCGCTGCGCAGCGAGCACCAACAGCGCGAGGCGACGTGGAGCGACGCGCAAGCGCGGCTGGTGCGGCTGCCTCAAGAGCAAAGCCAAGGTGTGTCGCCCGATACAGGCGCTGTCGAACCGCAAATGGACCTCACCTCTCTCCCGACGGCGGAACCTCTCAATAGAGGGCCGAGTATCATCAACAGCAACGACAGTGTTCGCGCACCAATGTTTGAGGAGACGCCAAGTGATGCAGTCGTGTTCACGCGTGTGCACCCTGACGTGCTCGCCCAGCAGCAGCTGCGGGAGCAGACGCTGACATCGCAGCTGTCGCTACTCGAGGCACGGCTGCAACGTGAAGTAGCGCAGCGTCGACTGGCCGAGGAGCGAGTGACGGAGCTGCTGGCGCAGAATGAGGAGTTGCGGGAAGCAGCGGCGGGGTCGCCACGCGGCCTTCACCACGACGAACACTCCGTTGAACACGACAATGGAACGGGCAAGACAACCACAACGCAGCAGCAGCAGCAGCAGGCGGTGCTTCACGAGATACAGGTGGAGTATAAGGCACTGCAAAAGGAAAGCAGAGCTTTACAGCAACGTCACGCCGCACAGCAGCGTCAGTGGGCAGAGCAGTGGGCTGCTGTATGCGCTCATCTGCTGCCATTGCTAGATTTTGCGGGAATTAACTCGGCTGCTTTTGCAGATGGCGCAACCGATTCACATGTGGTGGTTGCGGCTCTTCAAACCCTTATGATTACACTACGAGAACAAAAGCGTGCCGATGCAGTAACCAATACCCAGGAACGGGAGGCGGTGCGACTCGCCGCGCTCGAGCAAGCCCTCCAGCAAGCAGATCAAGAGAACAGCGAGCATCGAGTTGCGCTGGAGGTGGTGGAGGCGCAGCTGCGCGGCGCCCGCGACGAGCTGGCAGAGTGGCAGCAGCAGCAGCAGCAGCAGCTTTTGCGGCGACAGCAGCGACACGACGATGAATGGCGCGCCGCCGCGGCACACTTCAACGGTGTGGTGGCGATGCTGCAACGGGCTTTGCGAGAATACACGCAGCCACTGTCGACCTCTCACACGGCTGACGGCAACGCCTCGTCCGCGGCCGGTCCTGCACGATCCCCAAAGCGCACCACGAAAGCGTCGAAGCCGATGCAATGCGTATCTGCGACGCAGCCGGTAGCCGTGCGAACGTCCTCGATGGCAAGTGCCGAGCACCTCAACGCGGTTGGCAGCGCCGGCAGCGCACCCGTCGATCTCGAAGGCTCGATGGAAGAAAAAGAAGCAACGACACCAACTACAGCAGCAGAGGTCGAAGTCGCCGCACAATCTCGCGAGCACGTAAGCGCTGTGATGCCGGGTGCGACACCGCGTAGAAGCGCTCAAGGCGTTGTCCGTGAAGACGACCAGACACCTGCGGGGGGTGATGACGACACCGATGACCTTAACGTCTCGGCCCTTTCGGTGTCCTCCAAAGCAATTGCTGCGGCCGTCGAAGGGGAGGAGGCGGAGGTCGATGCTGCCCCTGCAATGGCACACCTGGCAGACGACATGAAGCGCCTTGGCGGCAGCTTGTGGAGGCTGCTCGCGGCGTGGCGCACTCGTCAGCACACGCTTCTCGAGAGCCGCAAACACTGGAAGCAGAAGGCGCAATACGCGTTGGCGACAAATGCGGCGCTACGAGAAAAGCACCAGGCGCGCGAGAGACAGCGCACGCTTCAGATTCGCCTGCTTCGCAGCGCCGAGCAGCACCACACGCAGGAGCTGGAGGAGCTCAAGCGCGATTGGGCTGCAGCGCTGGAGCAGCAAGCCGCCCAGCACGCGCATGAAGTAACGCAGCTGCGCGACACAGCGGCGCGTGAGCGGGCCGATGTACTTGCGCGACTCCACGCTGCGGATGAGAAGGCGCGCCGCGCGGAAGGCGCACTCGTCACGGCAGACACAAACTGCAGTCTTCTGAAAACCACCGTGCGGCAGCTGCAAGACGCGCAGGAGAGCGCCGTGACGAGGCACGAGCAGGCGCAGCGGCGACAGTCCGACTTGAACATTCACATCGAAGATCTGGAAGGGTGCCTGCGGGAAGCGCAGCAGGTTGAGGTTTGTTTGCGCGCGCTGCTGATCGCCGCGACGGGTGCGATGGTCCGTCTGATGCTGGCGCTGCAGCAGCTCCGTTACCACTACGCGGTTCTCCACGCCTTGCACGGCAACGCCGAATATCTTGAACACGCCGTGGAGCACATCCTCTGCGCGCTAAACACCCACCAGCGCGCCAACGACGACGATGCAGCCGTGGCGACGCCCGCGCCTTCCTCGTTCGCGCCTCACAGTGGTGCTTCGATGTTTTTGCTGATGAACTCCCCGGTTTTTCCTGCGGTATCGCGGTCAGCGGCGCGGTTCCGTGCAGCTGTCTATGCCGTCACTGCGATGCACCGTATGCAGCGACTTCTTCAGCTATCCAAAACGAACACTCCCCCTGCGACCGCGTCTCGCCCGTCATCACCCTTATCGAACTACCAGTCCCTTATCAGTGCTTTTGCCTCCTATGGCGTGCCTACCCACGCCCATTTTGGCGCGAGTGAGGGGCGGAGTGTTGGACAAGCGGACGGTGTCCTACCTGCTGTGCGGCTGCCCGAAACGCCAGAGCTGGTCGGCCCCCTTCTGCCGCTGCTGAGGCTCCACGAACCGCTGGAAACGCCACACGCGGTGGAGCGCCAGCGGCAAGTGTGCTTTGAGGCCAGCGAGAGGGAAGTGGGCAGTCGCACCGCTGCCGCCGCGGCAACCGTAGCGGTGTCGACGTCTCTACTGGGGCACCTGCTCTCTGTCGCCCAGGTCGATGTGCACGCGCCTTCCACCTCCATCGCGCTGGCCGGCGTCCACGCGGCGGCAAACGTGAAGGGGTGCTTTCAGCACGCCGCCCAGCAAACGCAGCGGTGCCGCTCCGCTCTGCGCCGCATGAACGCGGCGAGCGACACAGGCGCCGGGACGCTGCTCGACAGCGTTTCCTCTCTGCTTCCCCCGGCCCTCGCGGCGCCGCTGCGGCAGCTCTCGTCGACATCCTCGCTGCGTGCCCGTCACCTTCGCGAAGTGCAAGCCGTTGTGCAAAGGCTGGTGGAACAGAACCGCAAGCTTGTCTCTGCGGTGGAGACGCAAGCACAGCTCGGTGACGCGCGTGGGCTGGAGATGGACTCCCTGAATGCGCAACTGCTTCTTGCACCGCAGCAGCAAGAATTGATGTCGCTGCAGGAGCGTGTCGTGCAGTCCCGCGCTTCACTGCTGCACGAACGCCAGCTGCGCCGCGCAGCAGAGGACCAACTCGCCCAGCTCCGTCAAGAGCAACTGCAGTGGATCGGCGAGGCGGAGCATCTACAGCGGGAGGTGTACGCGCTGAACATGGAGCTGGCGAACCTGTCCACCGACGCCGCCCATCACCCGCATCCCTCGGTTCTTTCTATTCAACGCGAAGGGGACGAGGAGGAGGGCGCGGCAGCCGCAACCGCAGGGGCGGGTAGCGCTCCAGCGAGGGAAGCAGCTCACGCGGCTCGTCCTTGTTTGACTTCTTCGCCCTCTGTTTCCTTCACCACCGCGGCGGCTGTGCGGGCGGGAGCGGAACGGCGAACACCACCGCAGCGCTCTCCTGTCTCGCCGTGTCCCCTCGGTGGTGGCAGTGGTCGGAGTGGTAAGAGCGACTTTCAAGCAGCGCACGAGGAAGGCGCTGACATGCGCGGAAGGCGCAGCCTCCACGGCAACGATGACGAGGCCTACTACCATCAGCTGCTGCACGGCGTGGGCGGCGGCCCTCTCCTCACCGATGCTGCTGACGCTGGTAGGTCGGGAAGAGCACCACTGCGCTACCAGCAGCGACACAACATCCCTACGGCAGAGGAGCTTGCACAGCAACGACGGGCTAGTCCGCGACTGTTGGACGGAGCGCGCGATGCGGCAGCGATGTACGCGGGTCACGGCAGCGGGGTAGATCTCTTTGTGCCGAAGGTCGTGCAGGAGCAACAGCAAAGACAAACACGGCAACAGCGGCGCACGCAAGCAGTATCCGTAGCAGCGGGGTCCGTGACTGTGGAAGACACCGCACGTGGTCCACAACACGCTCCTCTTAACAGCACCTGTGGAAGAGGCCCCGCGTCCGTACCATCTACGCCAGCGAACATTCGCATGGTCATCGCACCAAGCCAAACAACGCACAACCACCACCACAACCACCACAACAGTAATTCGTCAGGTCAACTCCCGCGCCCCATTGTGGAAATTAAAACTTCGTCCCCATCTCCACTTCAAGCGCCGCCGTCGATTCCTGCGGAGACATCCGTGTCCACCCCACCGCCGCAACGCCTTCGCGACGAGGGAGACGAAGACGAATCCCATTCTACGCAGAAGGACAACAAAAAGCCTGACCGGCAGACGGCGGTGGCACTGGCGAATGGGTGGGCGCCCTCCTGCGCGTCTCCGCTGTCCGCCATCCAATCGGCGGCGTCGCCCCAGCCCGGGTCGCCCCCCTCGGCCACCGCATTCTCAGCGCAGTCGCACCGTGATGGGTTTGTCGCGTCGGGCGACGGCTCTGCGAGGTCGGCGCGGCAGCCCCCACCTCCGGTACGCCTCTCCCTCTCTGGGCATCTGCACTCCTCGACGGCGCTGACGTCGCCGCCGCCGCGCCAGCTCGCGGCAGCGAACCAGGAGGGACGCTCGCGCCCCGTCAGCGGTCCTACGTACTTCACGCCGCGATCTCGATAACGTGTCAAATGGTGGTCAGATCGAACACGGCACAAACAGCGCCACAGTACAATACTCCTCGCAAACCATCAGCATAGAAGGCAAAGGGTTTTTTTTTTCAATGAAAAGGAATACTAATCACCAGGCGCTTGTCATCGAAGTGTCTGAGGCTCTGCCTTGCTGGCCATGCAGCCCATCTGGCACATCGTCGTGCGTTGTCTCTCCTCTAGGTGCGTACGCACCGTTGCATCACCCACTCCTCCTCTTTTCCTTTCCTCTTCTGTCCTTGGGTGGAGTCCTTCTTCTTCTACTTTCGGACACACAGTAGAACTGCGAAGACCAAGCTGTGTCTCGCTTGTGCTGTTTGGGTTCTTGTTGGTACTTCCTTCATTCCCAAACACGCACGTTTCGGTAGATTTTACGCTCTATCCAGAGCGTACTCTATCGATTCATCAAGTCCGATTACTTGCTGCATTACATGCCTTCTTCTGCAACTCTAATTCAATCGCTGAGCTGAGGATGAACTCGGACGGCGACGTTACCCCACCACGGCTGACCTCCTCAACACCTGGGTCACCCAACCGCCTCGGCTCAGCAGGCCTTGCTACCACAAATAGTGGCGTCACCACGCCGAAGCCCAGCGCCGCTCGCCAAGCAGCGAATGCAAACCAGCTCACCACGACCACTGCGGCTGTGTTCACCACAAACGAGGTTGCGGTCATCGCTCCGCCTTCTCAAATAGCATCGGGGCAACGCGCCTCATCATCGTCGACACCGCTGCTCATCTCGTCCGTCACGCCCCCTCCCCTCCACTCGCCGCCTCCACCTCCAGCAGATCGCTGCACATTTGCCGCTGCGGCGGCGGCGGCTTCTTCTTCCTCCGCCTCTCTCGGCTTTCGCGCTCGCACAACTCCACACAGCAACAGCAGTGGCGGCAGCAACGGCGTTGTCGGCGGCGCGGCACCTTCCACCACCAACACCGGTGCATTACGCTTTACGTGTTGTCGCTGCCGGCGCAGCTTTTTCGTCTCCCCTGATGAGCGCCGCACCTCCGTCACGAAGCACTCCTCGTCGTTGGCGCAGGAGGCGCCGGCTAAACTCGTTGACCGGCTCTCGCGTTCCTTTGCTGCGCATGATGCCATGAACACCGAAGATGCGTCGGATCCCTTCTCGGGACCCGCTGCTCCGTCTTCCGCTCCACTTGCACCGTCTTTGCAGGCTGCTGTTCGCAGCTCCTACACAACCTCCGGTACTGGGCAGCGATATCGGCCGCTGGTACCGCCTCGTGTATCTGAGCACACCGTCAGTACGCGTCATCAAGACACGAAAGCCACTTCAGATGCGCTGGCAGAGCAGCGTGCCCTCATCGATGCCCTTTCCCTCGACCTCTTCACCCCGGCCGAGGTGTACTCGCGGGCACAGCTCACAGAGCTGCTGACGCACGCGCAAGAAGTGCTTGATCTCGAAGATGCTCGAGCAGCCCCGCGCTGCACACGGTTTGCCGTGGCGAACCCGCATAGCCTCTGCGATCTCGCGCCACCGCTGAGCTTTTCCTCCGCTCCTTCGCCGACGTCAGCGCACACCACACGTAATGCACGCTGGGGGCAGCACTGCAAGGTCGCAGGTGCGCAGCTCAACGCGTCGGATACGGCTGCGGTGGTTTGCTTGGATGAAGGCGCCTCCGTTGTTTTAGAGATGTCGCAGCTTGTATCACACGGTGTGCAGGTCCGCATGCCTTCGTTTAGGATGGCGGAGAAAGGGGCGGAGGGCACAGGGGATGAGGGGGGAGAAGAGGAAGGGAACGCAATGGCTGCGACCGGGCAGAGCCGCAACGGCAAAACCGATAATAGCGGTAGCAGCTCATCCGACCTGACCGCGGTGGAAACGCTGGTGATGAGTCGAGAGGGAGAGGGCGACCCTCCGAACGACCCCCGCAGCACCGCACACCGTGAGGCTACGCCGCTGCGCCACCCGTTGCAGGAGCACCGCAGCGAAGACGACGATGGCGACGCGGGCGCGGCGGCGGATGGGCACACCGGTCCCTCTCGCGTCGGAAACGACGCGGCGGAGACAGCGGTTCGAACCTTTGCGACACCGCCGCTGCCACCGCCGTCATCTTCATCGCCTTCAGTGCCAGAAGCGTGTAGCGAGCAAGTACATTACATGGATACACCTTGCCCTGCCTTCGCCGAGAAGGCACCTCGTCAGCCGACCGGCAATCTGACCAGTGCTGCCACGGCGCTGCCGTTTGGTGCGTTGTACCGTTGCTGGATGCGTCTGCTCGTCCACTCGTCCTCCGCCTCCTCCTCCACGCTGCCCGCCCAGCCCCTTTGTCTCGACTGCTGGTGGGAGGCCTGCATTCCCCCGCTGCAACAGCGCACCACGAATGCCCTGGAAGGCATTGAGTCGCTCCACTCCATCCTCCGCTGTCACTCGCACGAGGAGAAAACTCGTCTATGGACGTTAGTGAGCGATGCCACGACAGCGCACACCGATCCCACGCCTGCGTTGCGGCAGGAAGGTGATGACGACGACGGACGGCGTGCGATCATCCGCGCTGCTTCCTCGCCATGCACAACGCAGCAGCAGCAGCCGTGCCCTCCTTCTCTCTCGTTGAACTCAGTCGCGGCGAATTTGTTTGGCGAAGATGAGAAGGAATGGCTGAGCACCATGGCCGCCCTCTCTGCTCCCCACCACCCACGCAAGCCGGAGGGCCTTTTGCGCACGGCAGACGCGCGCAGGTCTGCAACACCCCCACCTATCCGTCGCTCTCTGAGTGACCGAGACGAAAACAGGAACGGCTCTACTGCACAGCGTGACACCTCAGTCCTCCAAGAGCGACAGGCGGAGCTCCAGGAGCTTCTTTTAGAAATGGAAGAGGTGCGCGCACAGCAGACAAGTCTTGATCTGCAAAACGACGAGCTGCGTGGCGTGTTGCAGGCGCTGGACACGGCACACATCAACACTGCGCCACCGCCGCCGTCCACCGCCGTCTTCGATGGAAGCGGTGGCGATCCTGCAGGGCAGTCCGCTTACAGGCCAGCTTTGGCGTCGACGAAGGACCGCAACACGCCTGCGAACTGGGCCGGCCTCGCGGTTGCACACAACATCCGCGAGGTGCACGATGCTTTTACCTGTCGCGATGAGGCGGCGGAGCGGCAACACATGATGCGTGACCTCGCAGCGCGCCATGCGTTCCTCTCCGCGACCTCGATCGATGCGGTGTGCTTTCCAGTAGACGTGTCAGGTCCCATGGGCACCATCGCCGGGCTGCGGCTGGGGTTGGTGGCGCCGTACTCCGGTAGCAGCCGTCCACCAAACCAGACAGCACGCCACACGGACGTGGGGCAGCGTGACGGTATCCCCAGTGATGCAGCGCGTTCCTGCGCGGTGGAGGAGGCGATGTGTTTGAAGGGCTTCGTGCGTCGGCAGGTGCAGTACACGCAGTTGCTGCTCAGCGGCCACACCGCTGGCGCGAACGTCGACTACGTGGAGGCGAGTCACGAGGACCACACGTCTGCGGGTGCTGCTGCGCCGGCGTTGCTTTCGAGTACCACCACCACCACCGTCGTGTCTCCACGCGTGTCGGCGGCGGAGGTGAACGCGGCCTGCGGCTACCTCCTGCTCCTCCTGAACTACTTAGCCAACGTGAATGGCCTCTCTTTTCAAACAGCCATCCTGCGTCCGGCAGGGGACCGGAGTACCGTTGCACTGCTCAAGTGCACCTCGAAAGGGCCAGGCGTACGTGCCGGTGCCGCCGCCACATCGCACGCCGCTGCGTCCTCCTTTGCGATTCCATTCAGTTTTTTCGGTCTCTTCACGAACACAGCGCCGAGCGCCGCGAGTTCAAACGACAGGCCGGACTCACCCTCTTCGGTCTCAGCGTGGACGGCTGCCGCCGCCTCTGCAAGCAGGTCGTCCTGCGTCGTCGACTACGAAGTCGACTTCTACCTCACGGACCGGCTCTTCGCCTGGCGCACGTTTGGCGGCGCCTGCGTGGCGGTGGCGGCGTGTGTGCGGGAGCTGTCGGACGCCTTGCACGAGAGCCTGCGTTGTTGGCAGCTGCGCGAAGCGGTCGTGCGGCGGCACTCCCCTGCCGAAGTGGCGGAAAGCACCGACACGGAAGCAACGGCAGCCGCAGCCAATGAACATGGAGGAAGGGAGCGAAGCAGTTCTTTGACGAAGGGAGCGGCGCCTGCGTCGCTGCTACGACTCGTTGAAACTCTTGAACAGAGTGCCGGAGTGGGCGGCGCGCCGGCAGAGACGGATGATCCGGCAGCAGCAAGTCCTCCACCCGACTGCGAGGCAGCTGTGACTGCCGCGGATGCTGCGGTCGCGGCGCCGTTTCCGCTGCGCCCGCCGTATCGCGTGCAGGGCGACACCGTCGATGGATTTTCCGTGCGGCACGGCAGCGTCACCGAGGCCATTTGGACCCTCGGCATGAAGAAGTTGCTGGCGAACGTGCAGTGGTGCATGGGGGCCACGGTGGAGCTGGAGCGACTGTACGCCATCACCGGTGACGACGAGGTCAGCGGCGAGGAATGAGAATTACGCAAAACCCGAAACGCAGCAGCCGGTTATGTCACACAGTCATACAAGCAGGGTTGCCGTTGCGTCCATCATCTGGTTCGTTCCTCTCCCACCGCTCTCTCCCCTCCTGTGTGATTGCGGCCGCGGTAACACGCTTTTCTCTGTGGGAGGGAGCTGTTTTCGTTTTCGCCGCTCCTGCGTATCATGCGGGAGAAGAATGCGAGGCGTCTCAATCGCTGCGGCCCTCCTCCCGCTCCTTCTCCCTTCTGTTTATTCTCTTTCGCTCTCTCTATTTTTTCTTTCCTTTGAAGCATCAAGAAAGAGAGGCGTTGTCGGTGCCGCCTTCACCGATGCTACCCGAGCCAGAAAAAAAAAAAAGAAAAGTGCGAAGCCTTCCTCACTGCCCTACCATTCCCCAGCTTGCGCGAGCCTCGCCTTGCCTTTTGTGTGTTGCGTAATGAGTAGTAGTGTTGTTGCGCGTATGACGTGCTCCCTTCCTCCCCTCCCCCCTTCCCAGTAAACCTGCTGTAAGACGCGAAAGCGACGCTGCTCTCACACGTCACGATGAGCCGCAGTACTCACCTTTCCTTTACCGAAATCCCTTCGCATCTACTTCCCCCCCCCCCTCCACATAGATAAGGCACGGAAAGACCAGCGACAACCCAACTTTCAAACAAAGTCCTTCGCTCATTTTATTAATATCATTATGATTCCCGTCCTGTAGCATTCCCTCGTATCCCACATCTATTACTACTACTGTTACTATTCGTACTACTGTTGTGTCCTTAGAGATCGAAGTCAGACCACGGCCTACTCAGACGTCGATAACGCGCCGTGTGTGTATTTTTGTTTGTTTTTCCCTTTTGTATTTTGTTTTTGTTTTTGTTTTTCAGGAGCCATACAGATAGATATAACACTATATACATACCTACCTCCTCCTTCCCTTCTACCTGCTGTAGAGAAGTACGAGGCAGCTACGCGCGTAGGAGGGCAACCATAACAACCGTGTACGACTACCATTATTCCTTCCCTTCCCTCTTTCTCTCTCGTTGTGAGTGTATTCGTGTGTGTGTGTGTGTGTGTGCGTTTCGCATTGGCGTCTGACAGTCAAAATTCCAAACAGGGTTTTTCTTCTTCTTCTTTGCTTGATTGTTTGTTTGCGAAGGTGTTTTCTCTTCGCTGCTGAGGGTCTCCTGGAAGCTCCCTACCCCCCTCCAAACAGAACTCGCGTTCGCGTTCAATTTCCTAAGAGCGAAGCGCTGCTTTGTGCTGTTTGAAGGCGCTTCTCATTGCCCCTGTAGAGCACCCAGGGCATTACCACCTGAAAGGAATTGAAAAGCGAAGAAAACCAGAGAAACGGCCACCATGGCGTTGAACCCGATCGCGTACCTCTCGCCCGGCTGCACCGCGCAGTGCCGGCAGTGCGTCAGCGCCAAGCCCGACTCCTTCGCCTTTGCTTCTGTGCAGTCCATCTCGTTGTACCGAGTCAGCACGGCGAACGTGGCTGTACCCGTCAGCGCGAGCAGCGACCCGGCACAGCAACAGCAGCCGCCATCTGCAGAAACGATCAGCATTGCGGACTACCCCCTCGCAACTCTCTTCGGGCACGGCGCAAACGCCTCCATTGGCGCCTTTGCCTACAACGATGACTACATGGCGTGTCTGACGCCGCAGAACAAGCAGGTGCTGCTGTGGCGCCTGAAAGACGCGGAGACGCTGACGGCCAAGAAGATCAGCTCTACCTCCCTCGCGAGCGTGTTCAAGCGGGACGGCAACCCGTCCACGATGTGTCTCGCCGGTAAGCACCACATCCTGTGTGGCACGAACACCGGGCGGCTCATCTCTCTGAACGCCGGCGTCGACAACGCGGAGCCGCGTAGCACCGCCATCCCGCCCTCGCAGCAGCGGCCGAGCGTGCAGGCTCCGCCGTCGCCGCTTTCCCCGAGCATCAACGCCGGTGGTGCCGCGTCCAACCCTAACAAGAATGCGGCGGCAGCGGTTGTGGAATCAGTGGAGTGTGTCACCGCAGCTGCGGCTCGCCCTGACTTGGTGGCGTGCGGCACGTCGGATGGCACTCTGTGCCTGCTGAACCTGAACGCGAGCACCGGCCTGCGTGCGACGGCCTCGCTCTGCCCGTTCCCGCCGAAGGAGAAGGAGCGGGAGCGCAGTGCGACGCTGGACGTGAACCCGCTCCCGGTGACAGCGATAGCGTTTGATCCGACCTCAGCGCAGTACCTCGCCGTCGGCTCGCAAGACGGCGCCCTGGCGCTGTGCGACGTGAATGGGCAGACGATGGTGCAGACCTTTGACTTCGCGAAGCTGCCGGAGAAGCACGTCAGCTCCATCGCGTGGATTCCAAATGAGCCGGGTGCGTTCTACACCGCCAGCTCCGACAGCACCGTCCTGCGCAAGTGGAGCGTGACAAGTAAGTCAGCCGTTGGGTCCGTCAGTGTGATGGTGATGCCCTCGCCGCCGCAGCAGCAGCAGCAGCGAAAGCAGAGTATGGAGGCCGACAGCAACGAGGCGGCGGGGAGTCAGATCGGGATTCGGAGCGTCGCCTGCATTGACCAGACCCGTGTCGTGGTCGGGCTGACCAACGGCGCCGTGCAGGTTTACGACGTTGGTCAGCAGCGGCTCGACTGCGACGTGGTCACCGGGCACACGGATGCCACGCTGAGCTGCAAGCTGTCGAAGCACGACCGCGACCAGGTCGCGACGAGTGGCGTGGACGGCACCATCCGCGTGTGGAACTTGCGGACGCTGACGCAGCAGTACGTGATTGCCGCCGGCCCGGTGATGGTGCACTCGGTGGATTGGTCGCCCAACGGCAAGCACATCGTCGCCTCGCTCGGAAGTGGCGAGGTCGTGATGTACGCCACCTCGACGTACCGCGAGTCGTGGCGCACGCCCGTCTTTTCGGATCTCGTCTACCGTGTCTGCTGGGCCGCCGGGGACTCCAGCCTCATCGCGGCCACCTCGCGCACTGGGCTGGCGATCCTCTCCTCAAAGGACGGCAAGGTGGTTCGTCGCTACTCCGCGGCGCACGGCGCCTTCTACGGGGTGGACATCGAGCCGACAAAAAGCAAGAACGTCGCCGTCGCCTGCCACGACAAGCGCATTTACGTGTACCACCTCAGCAGCAGCAGCGATCGCCCGTCGCTGGTGCTGACCGGGCACACCGATGCCGTCTGCGACGTCGCCTACAACCCGACCGCGCCGAGCTACCTCCTCTCCGGCAGCTACGATGGCACGTTGCGGGTGTGGGACTTATCCTCCAACGACGCACACACGATTTCTGTCTCGTCCCGTGCGCTGAAGGGGCACACCGATCGGGTGCGCAGCGTGGCGTGGTGCAGCCTGGCGCCCTACCTCGCCCTCAGCGGATCGGCGGATGCCTCCATTCGGATGTGGGACATCCGCAACGGCGTCGCCATCACGACGGTGCGAGGCCACAACTCGGATGTGGTCGCCTTGACCAGTCACGTCGACCGGCCCCTCATACTTCTCTCCGCGGCGCGCGACAGCACGCTGGTGGCGTGGAATGTGGCGCTGCTGCGACAGGTATACCTCGAGGCCACGCTCGGCACGCTGGAGAGTTGCATCGTGCCGGACCCCTCCTCGCTGATGGGGGTGGCGACGTCGAGCGTGTCGGTGTCGCAGGTGGCCGGCCCGGCGGTGCAGCGGCTGGTGAAGGAGCTGAACGAAAACGCGAGTAAACCGGCAGCGCGATTGCAGACGCTCGTGAACTTCTTCGAGTTCCCGAACGGGGCCGCAGAGGTGGCGCAGATGGCGCTCTTCACGGTGGACCCGGCGCAGTACACAAACTTGATGAACGAGGGCAAGCCGGCGAATGTGGGGCTCGTTGTGCCGGCAGCAGCGCTCGCGGATGTCGCGCGGGCACGAGCCACCTACACGAACGACCGCGCGCACGGCAAGACGGTCAGCGCGGCCGGCGCCGCCTACAAGAAGCAGCGTTTGCTGGAAGCGGCGGAGGAGCTGCTGAAGGTTGGACAACTGGAGGCCTACTGCAACACGCTGATGGAGGCGGAGGAGTGGGATGGCGCGATTGCCGTGGCACCGGCGATCTCGCGAGTCTTCTGGCGCGGTGTGTGCCAGAAAGCTGCGGAGGCGATGGAGGCCGCAGGCGACGCCCGCGCGGTAACGTACTACATCATCGGCGAGCAGAGCAGCAAGGCGGCACAGCTACTCACCCGACTGTCGCAGAGCAACTACGATGCCGCGACTGTTGTGTGCCAGTGCTGTCCGCAAGTCACAGAGGACGCTGCTCTGCTGCAGCAGCAGCAGCAAGCGAGCGAACCGCCGCACAACACGACGATCGATCAGAACAGCGTGACACCGATCACGCAGCAGCTGCAGCGGCAGCGGTCCGCCGTGTTGAAGCGCTACGCTAACCAGCAGCTCCTTGCGGCGGTGCTACTCGCCCACGGTCACAGCGATGACGCAGTGCACACGTTACAGTACTGCGGAGATGTCGTGCTGGGCCATTTGCTCGTGCACACCGTACCGCTGCGCGAGCAGGCCAGCATTGACACCGCCTACCGCCTCTCCATGCTGCAGAGCGCGCGGCAGCACAAGTGGGATACCGCGCTGCTGTGCGCGACGCGGCTTTCGAACCCGTACGACAGCCTGGCCACGGTGCTCGCGCTCTTCCAAGCCGCGCAGGGTAAGACGCTGGCGGGCAAGGTGCCAGCTCAGTCGCTCACCTCGGCGAACCTGTCTACCTTCCACGGCGTCAGCGAGCGTCTGAAGGCGTTCTATGATCAGGTGCGCGGCGAGTGTGCGAAGTTGCAGCTGCCGCTGGACGCCAACGCGATCCAGCAGCGGCACGCCAACGACGGGTTGGCGTCGCAGAACCAACTGGCGGCGATGGTGTTGGCGGCGGACCCCTCCTCCGGTCCGGTAACGGATGTTTCCATTCTGCAGAGCCTGACCGGTTTCATAGAGAGTCTGCTGGGCGTGGCGCTGCAGGACGCAGATGGCGCGAACGCGCCCTTCTACCTACGGCAGGCGTACAACGTGTCGGCCTACGTATCCGTGCCGCTGGAGACCCTGCCGAAGCCCGGCACCTCGAGTCCCTCCACCTCCACCTCCGCCGTGTCCACCATGTCACCAGAGCACAAGCATTTCCTGGCGCTGACCTTCGTTGTGGCGACGCTCATGACGGTGAAGGTCTACCGCTTTCCGACGCTGCTGAACTACGCGTTTGCGAAGGCGCGTGATCTTGCGAGCGGCGCGAACAGCGCGTCGCTGAACACCGTACTAGGCACCGTGCAGGGTGTGCTAGGCACCTACTCTCCGCAGTCGAAAGAGGTGGACTGCTCGTCGGTCGGGAGCACGCTGCCGGCCTTGACGAGCGAGGGGCGTCAGATCGTGTCGGCGCTCACGGGCGAGCCTGTTTGCGGGGCCGTACACGTGTTGGAGGACGGTTCATCGTTCATCTCCAAGTCGGAGGCCTTGGCGTGGACGCTGTGCTCGCACTTCTCGCCCCTTGCCACCGGTGCCCGTCTGACGGCGCTGTGAGCCAGCAAAAAGAAAGGAAGGAATGGGAAAGAACAACGTCTGTCGAGACTTGTTTTCTTTTGCGTGTGTTTGTTTTGTTTTGTCTGTTTGTTTACTTGCTGACGGGTTTTTTTTTGGTTTCAGGTGGTTCCTGGTGTGGCGGTTCGGCCTCGCTCCCATCACGTGCTTACTCTTCTATCGTCGCGGGTGGGGGCGGGTGGGGAAGAGCACCATCGCGCACGTATCCTTTGCGTGTTGGGTACGCTCCCTCTCTTTGTCGCTGTTGCCGTTGCTGTTGTATTACTGCGCTCCGTTCGTAAAGCGGACTTTTTCTTTTTTTCTTCTTTTTGAAGACGTGTGCGCGACGGCGTAACGTGATGTGCTGCGGCCGTTACGTGCGTCGCCGCAACGCTCTGTAGATGACCTTTCCACGAACATAGATCTCCCTCCTGCTGCCTGCCGCCTCCTCCCACCACCATAGAGCTATTCGCCGCGTTCCAGCAGTGTCCGTTGTTGGTGTTTTCTTCATTGTCTTTTTCTCTTCTTCTCTTCCTTTCCTTTTTTTCTTCTCGTTCCTGCGTTGTCTCTCGCCTTTGTGTGGCTGTGGTGGATGTCCAGTGTGAGAAGGAGTTTTGATTACGAGTGATGATGATGATTCCTTTATATATATATATGTATTTCGAGAGGGAGAGAGAGTGTGTGTCATCGGGTAACCTCCACTCGCCTGAACCTGCAAGACGATTAATATATACCTCAACCCTTTCCCTCCTTCTGATTTCTTTCACCTCCCTCGAGGGCGGGAGGGTGCGACGGCGCAGGCTCAGGTGGACCGAACTTCGGGGTGCTGTCGAGGTAATCGTGCCTTCTGTTAGAATCCGGTCACCGTCTCCGTTTGTGTGTTCTCCCTTTTTTCCTCCGGTGCCACACGAAACAACACGCGGCGGGGCGACAACGACGCCACATTTTTTTCTAAATAAAAATACGAAGGAACTGTAAAAGCCTGATGAAAATAGAATTGTGCTGTTTGTGTTTCTGTATTCTTTCATTTGTTGATCTTGTGCGTGTGTGTGCGTGTGTGTGCGGGTGTGCGTGTCACCGTGTGTGCGTGTGCTGTAGTCTGCCGTCGGCCGTAGTACAATTTTTCGTGTTTCCCCGCTGCGACGTGTTCCGTTTACGTGGTCAACGGGTTCTGTTTTCTTGGCCGACATACACATATGCGTATGTATGCTGATTTTCATTTTTCTCTCTGTTCTCTCCGCAGGAAGAGCGCCTCGTCTCCTTCTTAGACACAATGACTGAAGAAACACAGCACAGCGAACTGCGAATGAACGGTGCCACGCTGACCTGCGTCACGACTTGGGGCGCTCACCCGTGTACGCTACGGTGCACTGGCTTCTATGGTGTTTTCGTTTCTGATTCTCCCTGCCCAGTGAGGCAGCGTATCGTCACTGCACACGTATGCGGCTTTTTCACATGTGCCTTTTTGCTTTGTCAAAGGCGATGCACAAAGGGAGATCTTTCTTCACGGGCGTGTTTGCGGACAAGCGACGGGAGAGGCGAAGCCGCTCGCTTCGCGTTTGTGTTTGCGGCTGCGCTGTACAAACTCTTCTTATTTTGTTGTTACTGCTGCACCGCCATTCGTTTCCTCTTTGTCTCTCTCTCTCTCTCCTCCTCTTTTTGTTTTAGTTTTTTTCGGGCTTTAGAAACACAACGATTGAGTGAAGTTACAGTAACAACCAATCAAAGCGTGCCTAGCAAAGCTTTTGACGCTGTTGCGGTTTGGGCGAAGTGTGAGGTGAAGCAGCGCAAGTGCTCGCGAGAACGCGCGGACTCCTTTTCCTCGGTCGGGTCTTTACTAAAAGGAAAAAGAAAAGGAAGTTGGCGCCTCAGTGTGCGGTTTAGCAAAGACAGTTTGTAAAGCGCACCACATACAAACACAGAACAAACAAAAAGGACGCGGGCGTGATTCGTTTAACGGCGGCAGCTCGCCAGCGTTATTTAAAAACAGGAGAGAGAAAACTAAATAAAGCCTTGCATTATTTGCTGTTGTTGTTGTAGCAGTAGCTGCCTTATGTTTTTGTGTTTTTTGAAGACAAATCCAACACGTTGAGATCCGCTGCGGCTTACACGCAATACGGCCACTCGACGTTCCACCACCACCGCTGCTTCCAAGGCACACACACACACTCACACACTCCTCCAAAAAAAAAAAGGGGGAGAGGTAGAATCATCATGTTCAGCTTTCAAAAGCGCGGAGGCACGACAACGGCGTCTGGCCTCGATACCGGTGCGGATCTCACGCCAGAAGGAAGCGCAAACCTGCACGGCGCCTCTTCCGAAGCGCTAACGATGCCGGTGGACGACAGCCTTCAAGGCGGCCCGCGTTATGTTCCGATGGACGCAGACGCCTACGGTGGCACGCACGGGCACGAAGAGGGCGAACACGCAGCTCGCGACACCGCTGGCGGTGGTGGTGCTGACCTCTACGCACCACCGCCTCCACTTCAACAAGAGGGGGAGGTGCAGCAGCACCTGCAGCAGCAACAGGAGTACGGGGATCCCTGCCGCAACGACCACTACGCGCCGCAGCCGCTGCAAGATCCGAGTGGGGTGGATGTGACGGCCTACCCCGGCCACAGCGATCCGCAGCAGCACGACAACCAGCCGCATGCACAACACGAAGGAGAGGGCGGGGAGGAGGAGGAAGTGGACATGGGCGAGTCGCAGCTCTTCACCGACTACCACGGCGGCGCCGACCGCGCCGAGGCGCACAACCGGCGTCTGCAGCAGCAGAAGATGTACGACGAGATCCCTGCCCCGCCAGATGACGCGGACGTGCACACCGTCTTTGCTTACTACCGCAAGCTCATTGGGCTCGTGCAGCTCGTGCCGCCGAAGCACTGGCGGGAGATTCGCTTTGACTTGCCGGCAAACGTGGCGGAGCTGCAGCTCTACCCGCAGCGTCGAGAGCGGATCCAGGACCGCGAGCCCATCCGCCCCTCCTCGACGCTGGTGATTTCGCTGGAGGGCACGCTGCCCGAGAACACCACGCCGTCCGAGTACGCCGCGCAGATGGTGCAGTACTTTCTCGACCTCCTGCAGTACCAGAACGCCTCCACCGCCATCACGACGCTGCGCTTCGTGAAGAAGGAGGCGGAGCTGTCGCAGATGGTCGTCACCCTCGGCCGGGACTCGCGGCTGGCGGGGCGCATTCTGACGGAGCTGCAGGCGGCCGGGCTGCGCGCGCACTACGGCATGATAATCTTCCAGCACCCCCCCAACGCCACGTTTCAAGTGGTCGACTACCGTCGCACGCTGCACGACGGCAAGGGCATCTCCGCCGAGGAGGTGGCTTTTCTGCTGGAGCCGATGCGGCAGACCAAGACGGTGGACATCAACGTGGTCGAGGGCTACGAGCCGGGCGTGTTCTACGTCCCGGTGAAGCGGCCGGAGGCGGTGTACGCCTTCCTGTGGAACTACTTCTGTTCCTACAGGTTCCAGGCGGACCTGTTCCGTCGTTACGGCGTCCTCGTCACCCAGGCGAACTGCAAGCACGAGTTTCTGCAGAAGGGTGTGCCGTACTTTGTGCAGAAGCGCGAGCTGGAGGAGCGGAAGAAGGCAGAACTGCTGCGGAAAGGCTTCCAGGAGCGGGAAGCCGGGGCGGCCGGGGCGCGCAAGACCGGCGCGGACGACCACCACGACGACGATGACGCGAGCGACGCGGATGAAGAGGCGGTGGCCGGTGGGGAGGGGCCACCGCCGGCGTGGGTGATGACGGCGGCGGACGACATCGACATCTTCAGCGGTCTCGCTAAAAAGGCGAGCAAAGCGACGCTTTCCTCCCTTGCGGCGGAGCAGCATACGATGGACTCTGCCACGGCAGACGTGTTGTCTGGTCCACCGCCTGCAGCGACAAGCAACGCAGCGGCAGCCGCCACGGCGCTCGCAGAGGACGAGGAAGGCATTGCGGACATCGACGCACTGCTGAAACAGTACAACGCCGTTGCGGCTGAACCGGCCAAGAAGGGAGACGCGGTGGGCCGTGGTCGACGCGGGAAGGGAGCGGTGGGTGCGGAAGGGGCGCTCCCACCGCCTCCACCACCCCCACCTCCACCGATGGAAGCTCCTCCGTTTGACGTAGGTGGCCGCTACGGCTGGGTGGACCCCCGCCAGCAGCAACCGCAACAACCGCCTCCGATGGCCAGCGGTGGGTTCGGCGACGGTCCTTACGGCTACCCGCCCTTTCCCGGCCCACCAGACGGGGGCCATGGCTCTCTGCTGCCACCGCCGCAGCAACAGCAGCAACCGTACTTCCCGCCGCCCTTCCTTGCTTACGCGGGGAGGAACGACGGAGGGTATGCGGCGTACCCCCGCCCTGGCGGGCCGGCGCCGTATGCGGTGCTGGCACCCGACGCACCCGCCCCTCCGCCGCCCCCGACGGACTACCCACCGCTGGTGGAAGAGTCGGAAGATGATGATGACGAGGCGAACGCCGCTCTTGCGCACGGCAAACCGCAGCGGCACGCCGACCCGTCCGGCGGCAGCGGTCCTCTTGTGACCGGTGGTCTCCAGCAGCAGCAGCAGCAGCAGCAGCAGCAGCCATCGTCCGCGGCATCTGGGTTTGCTTCGCCGTATGAAAAAGAAGGACTGCTTTCGTGGTCGATGGACGCGGCGCAGACGCATCCGCGCAGCGGTGGGGCCACCGGTGGCGGCAACCTGCACAGCTGGGGACCGAGCGAGGGCCCGGAGGCCTGGGGGAACGCATTCGGCCCACCGCCGCAGCAGGGCACCAACGGTGACGACGACAACAACGGCTTCTTTGCCACGAGTCCGGCACCCGCTGAGGGTCCTACCGGAGGCGACGCCGACACCGGCGGGGGTGGCATTCTCGGTGACTACGACCCTTCCTACGACACGCCCTTCTCCAATGCTGACCCCAACAGCACGAGCAACATCGGTTACCCGCCCCAGCAGCAGGGGTGGGAGATGCAGGACCCGATGATGATGGCCATGAATGACGGTAACAGCGGCGGCTACGCGTACAACGGCAATCCTGATAACTACGGCTACCCACAGGGCTGGAGCCAGGAGAACTTTCCACCACCGCCGCTTCAGCAGCAGCAGAGTGGTGGTCTTTACAGTGACGGCTACAACAACCAGCAGCAGCAGATGATGTACACGCCGCCCCCGCCACACGTGCAGGAGGCTGCGCAGATCACGGAGGAGCTGGAAGAACGTGTTCAGGCTGCCTTTCCCGCTTCCTGGGCCGCAGCGACCGCCGTGCAGACGCTGCCACTCCCTCTCGATGGCGAGGCAGCGCTAGACGAGATCGAAGCGGCCGACGCAGCAGAAACCGGCGACGCGACGTCCAGCTGCGTGTTGCACTACGTCTCGGCAGAGGCGGCAGCGAAGGGCACTCCGCCGCCCAACACCGAAATGACGGAACTCCTCGAGTTTATACAACGCAACATCGGCTTAATCGGACGGCTGCTCCACAAAACCACGACAACAACGGTGGAGCAGGCGAACGACGTCGCAGGGTACCGGGCACGGGTCGCGCGCGCGTTGTTGATCGGCGCGACGGCAGAGACGACGGCGCAGGCGTGGTCGGCCGCGTGGGTGCCGCAGCGCGCCGATGGGCAGGTGGCGGCTTCAACCGTCCCAGTGCGTTCTGCCGACGCCGCAGAAGAAGCGTCGACTTCGCCGGCGAGGACGAATGACGGCGGCGGCGTTGAAGACGAAACGCTCACGGAGGAGAAGCTCGAAGGACAGCAGGAGGACGACGTCGACGAAATCGAAATTCAGCTTCCGGCGCTGCTGCCCTATCTCCTGCGCACCCCTGCCGGCGTAGACCTGGCGCTGCTGTTAGCCTTCCACTACCCACGCGCCTTTGCGCGCCGCTTCCTGCCCTACGCGCCGGCCTTCTTGATGGAGGAGCGCGTTGTACGAGTGGTGTTAACGACGGCCCTGCGTCGCGATCCGCGTGCGAGTGCGCCGCTCGTCCGCGAGTTGTTGGCCCATTGGTGTCCTCTGCTGCGGTGGTTGAAGGGCTTTGCGGTCGTGAAGGCGCAGGGCAGCGTGGAAGAAAAAGAAGGCGGCGCTACTGCCTCTTCGCCCTCAACGCGCAGCACAAGCGCGACGGCGGTGAAGCAGTTCGTGTCGCTGCTGAGTAACACGATGGACGTGGTGCTTGCGAACCTGTCGCCGGACCAGCGCGACGCCTGCTGCGCCTGCAGCAAGGAGCAAGACTACGTCAACGCGTTCGCCGACGCCCTTGAGCTGTCGCCGTCTCCCGAGGCGGACGCGTCGACGACCAGTGAAAGCGCGCTGCCGCAGCTCTGGGGACCGGACGGCGCGCTCTACCGCTCGCTGCTTCGCCTCTACATTGCGGCGGACGCGTGCGATGCCGCGCCGCTCGCCACGCGCGTGCTCACCTGCAACACCAACGTCCAGAGCGACACAGGTGCCACGAGTACGCGGCCGAGTGTGTGTGTCCGTCGTGATCACTACTACTACTGCCTCACCGTCCTGTCCCGCTCGCAGACCGCGCCGGCGCTGAGCCGCGAAGCCGGCGCCTTTTGTGGGGTGTTTCTGCGTTTCATCGAGCTCCAGCAGCGGACCCAGGAGGACGGCACGTCACCAGCGGTCGGAGAGGCGGAGGCGACGCAGCTAATGGAAACGGCGCTGCGATCGTTGCAAACCAACGAGGCCTACGCAGCGCTGCGGGAAGCCTACCTGCTTTCCATGAGCGACGACCCCATCACCCACTTCGGGGCTCTCCTCGCGCAGCTGAACTCTGTTGAGCCCCCGGCGACGGCGGCGTTGCACGGGGCAACCTACCGTGAGTGGTACCTCAACACAAATCAGCAGCAAAAGGTCAACGCCGCGGCCGCGAAGATCCCCAGCACGTTCTACTACCAGCCTCCGTCGCGTCGCCTCAACAGTAGCAGTCACACGAGTACGTCACTCAACGCCAACTCGCGGTGGAACCACAATAACGAGACGGGCAACGTGCAAGGGAGTGGGGAGAGCTGGGCGCAGCCGCAGCCGCCGGTGTGGACCTCCGCGCCTGGGCAATGGACGGGAAGCGGCTACAACACCAACAGCAGCGCACGTGGCGCCAGCACCGCAGCGCAGCAGTGGCGCGTGGACTGGACTGAGACGATGCGCAGCTATCCCGCCTCTGGCACGCCTTTTGCGAGTGCTCTACCCGAGGGCTGGACCTGTCGCCTGGTCCGCCGCGTTGGGCGGTACTGCTTTTCCAGAACTGCCGACAACGGCAACACGGCCGACGGTGCCACATCGGCTCCTGCGAAGACGGCAGCGGAAGCAGAGAGCACGCCTGCGTCGTCCGCCGCCACGACGACATCTGCGCCGACGTACGCGCACCCAGGGGACGGCAAGGAGTACCTCGCAACGCCGCAAGCTTTTCTGCAGGAGCCCGGCGCATCCGCGGAGGCCACGGCGATGCAGGTGTGTGCAAAGGCAAACGACATGCACCGGGAGGAGGCCCTCGCCACCGGCCTGCCACCGCCCGCGGAGCTCACGCAAGCAGACGTGGAGACGTGGCTGGCGGACCAGCGACGCCGCAGCGTCTTCCTCGACGTCGCCACGATGGAGCTGCTGGGCATTTCCTATCGGGGCAGTCGGAGTGGCCCGTCAACCCCGGCGGCAGCTGGTGGTGGTGGTGGTGTAAAGCGCGGCCGTGATGGACGCCCCGGCTTTTCGAAAGCACTGACCCCTGAGGAGCAGCAGGAGGTGCTTCGGAAGGTCATCCCCCGCTCCTACCCCGCCATCGGGGCTCCCTACCCGGCCCTCTTCTCCAGCTGGTCGGTGTACTACAACTCTGGTCGTGGGCAGTACGGTTTTGCCGGTCCGCACCACGGACCGAGTCAGCCGCCGCTGTTTCTGCATCCCGTCACGCGGAAGCACTACTTCATCTCCCCGCAGGCCTTTGTGCGGCAGCGGAAGATCAACTTCGATGTGGTTGCCCGAGTGGCGAAGGTGACCCAGTCGGAAGTTGAAAAGTGGATGGCTGACCAGCGCACGCGCCACCCCGCCATTGACGCGGCGGTGATCAAGATCGTGCCGATTCACTACGGTGACGTGGAGAAGGCGTTGGCCGACAACGCCGCGGCGGTCGCAACGACAGACGACGAGGAAAAGGATAGGAACGACCGCAACAAGAACGGCGGCAGCACGGCCACGACGACGACTCGGGAGCGAGAGCGCAATACCGCGGCCGCTGCGTCGTCCTCCTCCTCTGCCACCGCACGACACCGCGCTGATCGGGGTGGTAGAGGCAGTCGAAGCAGCAGAGAAGCGCGGCACGGCAGCAACAGCAGACGAGGAAGACGACGTCGGCGCAGCGAGGACAGCGACAGCAGCAGCAGCCACCGCAGCGACGACGACGATGACGATGACGATGATCACAGGCGACGCGGTCGTCGCAGAGGGCGCTCACCGCGACGACGTGGTGGTAACGGTGGCGGCGGCGGTGGCGGCGGCGGTGGCGGTGGTCGTCGTCGCCGCCGTAGGTAAGTGCTCCTGGTTTGTCTTCCCATTATTATTTTTAATGTCTCCCTTCTTCGGTTGTTTACTTCTGCAGTAAGTGGCCGTTGGGGTGTCTTTCGGATTTACGCGTGTATGGGGATGGTTCGGTGGAACATGCCAAACAGTGTGTGTGTGGGTGGGTGGGAGGAAGCTAAAACTGGAAGAAACGAAAAATCAAGTAAAAGAATGAAACACAGACCGCGAAAGAGAAGGTGATTGAAAAGGGCAGGGAGCAGCCATAAGCAGCGCTCATGCGGGCAGGTCAAAGAGCGGAAAAGAATGAGAGGTCAGACTCGGCGCAATTTCGTGCGCACTCGAATAAGAGGCTCTTCATCGTTGCTCACATCAATCTCAGTGTCCGTTGTCTTGAAGAGGCGTCGCTACGCAGTTCGACAAATCTTTTTTCCTTCTTCCTGCTTCTCCTCCGTTCCTCGTGAATCGACTTAGCCTTCGATCTTCTCGCACGTCTCTGCTCTCGACGCCTCCCAGCACGCCACAGCTCACGAACTGCTAAAGTGGAGTGAACGCGGTTGAGTCTACGTGTGCTTCGCCCACTTCTTTAGGCGTATTCTCGTCTCTGTTTGTTTTGCTGTTTTTTTTTCTGAGCTTTTTTTGGTATTTGCTGTTTTTCTCCCCTGTTGCTGCAATCAAACGGTGTTGTGTGCGTGTGTGTGTGTGTGGCAGGCATTGAAGCCCTTTGATTAAAAGCTGTGTGTGAGAGAGAGGAGAGGGGGAGAGAGAGGTTGTGTTCGGCAAACGCGCGTGTTTGTGCCTTCTTTGCTTGCGATCTTCCTCACACTTTCTTCTTTTTTATAAGTATTTGTAACCTTCTAAAGTGCACCTCGTTTCTAAAAGAAATTGCGTGAAAGAAAGAAGCGCCAAGGTGCTAGCATGACCAACACATCGAAGCTGCGGTGGGCGTTCTACGAGGATGTCTACCAGCCCGCCCTAGTCTTCCCCGCCGAGGAGCTCGCCGACACGGCGCTCCCGCCAGGACACACCGTCGTGTACCTCCTCGGTCTCGACAGCAACGTCATGGTGGCCGACGCCGCAGTCAGCGAGTACGACCCGCATGATACGGCAAAGATGTCGAACCCCGCCGCGGCGCTCGGCGTGGCCATGGCACAGCAGATCCTAGAAGGGTTTCAGAGCAGCGGCAGTGGTGGTGATGACGCTGGTGATGCTGTCGGCGGTGCAGGTGACCGCCCGGACCTTTTGAATGAGGAAGAAGACGGCGGTGGTGATCACGACAGGGCGAGGGCATCGGATCTGCGTCTGCTGCTTGAGGATGATGGGGATGACGATGTTGACGACGATGACGCACGTCGCCGCCGCCACGAGGAGAAGAAGCTTCGCAAGGAGGAAAAGCGTAGGGAGAAGGAGGCGAAGAGGGCGGCCAAGGCAGCGGCGAAGCGCGAGCGGGAGGACATCACGTCTGCCCCCACGATTCGGCACGGCGCCGACGTCAGCGCGAATAGTGAAGACGACGATAATGAGCTGCTCGCGGCGATGGCCATTGAGCAGCGGTATAACCACAACAGCAAGGTGAAGCCGGAGAAAGTAAAGGCAGCGGCGGACGGCGACGGCGAAGGCACGGACGAGCGGAATGGGCAGAGCAGCAACCACAAAAAGGCGAAGAAGCCGCACGCAGGCGACTCCTGGGCCGCGCTGGAGGAAGATTTGTTTTCCACCGACGACGAGGACGAAGTGGAGGAAGCGGAAGGCAACGGGGAAGGCGGTGACGCTGATCGGCTCCGTCGCGGACACGAACCGCATCGCCATCCCCCCCGCAGCCTGCGCTCCGGCAACCGCATGGGTCAGGCTCTGGCGGCCCTCAACGCGACGAGCGCCCTCCACGACGTCTCCGGCCTGTTCGGGTCCTGCCCCTACGCACAGCCTTTTCTGATGGAGATTCACTACGAGTACGAGCAGCTGGCACAGGAGGCGAGCAGCGAAGGTTTGCTGCTGACGCTGCAGAAGGGCGAAGTGGTACGCGCGATTGACGACGAGCTGCGGCAGAGGGCCGCGCAGAGAGCATTTCTCGAGGCAGCGCTGACCACCCGTCAGCACCACGCGTCGTCCGCCGCGGGGCAGAGCGAGGAGGACGCGTTGGACGAGGCCATCGCGAAGTTGGAGGCGCCGCTGAGCGTCGCGGAGACCGTGCGGCGCCTCGTGGGCAAGCAGATGCCGTCGAGGGCCATCGCGTTCGATCGCATGGCGGCCGCGCGAGCTCGTCGTGCCGTGCAGAGGCGCACCCGCACCTTCCAGGATGCGACGGTGGTCACCTTGGTTGATCACCTGCGCAGCGTGGACGCGGCCCCCCGCGAGGACGGCGCCGAGGTCATGCGCCGCTACATCCTGCAGCGTCGTCAGCATGAGGAGCTGAAGTCGAACTTCCGTGGACTGAGCAAAACCGGCTTCTACGCGGTGCCAAAGCCGATGGAGAAATGGCGCCGTGCACGGGATATGATGATGCTCGCGAACGTGGGGGCGGAGGCGCAGAAGGTGCTGCCGACCTCCTACATCAGCCAGGCACACTCCACGATGGTGCGGCGCATGAAGGAGCACGCGGAGAAGCGCTACGACCGCATGGCCGTCACCGCCCGCGATGGGGCCTCGTTTCTCGATATAAACAGTTTTAGTGGGAACACGGCGTCCTCCTCGGCGCAGTTTGGCTCACCCTCGCCGGCGATGAGCCACCAACAGCAGCAGCAACTTCAGCAGCAGCGGCTCGCCGCGTCGAGCGTGATGCAGCGCCGCGAGGCTTTCTTTCAGTTCCACGCCCTCCGCTGCGACGCCGAGGCGCCCGTCACGGTGGAGACGGTGGCGCTCAACCCCGACTTTGCCGGTGCCGGTCTGTCACAGAACGTGCTGGCCTCCGTGGGCGATCTCACGGCCAGCGTGGCCCCCGTCGATGACGCTGGCGCCACGGGTCCGCACGCCGAGGATGCCCTGCGCACCGACGACGACGCGTCGCAGGTCTCCTACTCCGCCCACAGCGCCGCACCGAGCTCCTACCCGTACGTCTTCGACAGCGAGCCGCGGCTGCGTCGTCCACACCGTCGGCAGCAGCAGCGGGGAGGCAGCATGAGCGGGGCGTACTCCTCCGCTTCCGACGGCGCCTCCGTGGTGTCCTCACGCGCCACCTCGGTCGGGTCTGTCTTCAGCGAGCGCGACGGGGACGACGATGGTGGCGTGAACGGAGAAAAGGTAAACGCCAACGGTGCGCGGCGCCACCGTCGTGGGGGGAGTGTGTCACGGAAGGCGATGAACGGTTCGGCGAGCGCAACGGCTGGCGGCGGCGGCACCGCCGATTGGCGCACGCGGGCGAAGCGCAGTATTATGGAACAGCTAACCTTGTACTGCCGCGGCCGTGGGGGCAGGCCGGCCATCCTCAGCAGCGATCAGTGCCGCGAGATCGGTCGCACGCTGCTGGACCGTGCGATGCGCGCCGAAGCCGAGCGGCAGGGGGTGTCGCTCGCGGTGCAGTCCAATAACCTCGCCGCACCCTTCACCAAGACAACAGAACAGCGTCTGAAGAAGAGTGTGGATCACTACCTGGAGCGTCGCATGGCGCAGAACACGCTGCCGGTGCTCGCATCTGGTGCGGATGGTGGCCGGGCGGTGCAGAACGGTGTGCTGGGCACCGGGGATCGCGGCGAGGGTGTCCTGCCGTTGTCGGGCGAGCCGGAAGTGCGGCCCTACGATGCGGCCGCCGTGGCACGGCAGCGCGCTGTAGCGGATACCCCCGTGTACGAGAACTAGTACGCAGCACAGAAGATGACACTGTGCTGAACAGGAAAAGACAAATACACGTGTGTGTCGTGCCTCCGATGCGTTCGGGATATTTTGTTTCCCTCGACATCGTTTTGTTTTTCTCTCTTCTCGTTTGCTTCCTTTATCACGATTACTAATGTAGACGGAGCGCAGTTGCGATTCCACCCTCAAACGTGCGAGCGCAAGAGAAGGGGGGGGGGGGGCGGGGAAAAAGAAAACCTCTGTGAGGACGGCATTAGATTTGCCGTGGTGCGGTGACGGTGTGTATATACATATATACTCCTCTCTTGCAGGTTTTTCTATGTGTGTCTCTGTGTGTGTGCGTGTGTGACTTCTTGTACTGCCGGTGTGCCTTTAAGAAAAGAAAAATGGATTCCTCTATGGGAGAGGGCGGGGGGGCGCACGTTCGTTGTGGTGTTGTGATTGTTTCTCCCCCCTTAACAGTTTCTTCGCGTGAGTGTGCCCCCTCACTCACCTTTCTGTTGTCTGCCTAACACTTAATTGTACTTCATATATATACATATATTGTTGCCTGTGCGGGTCTCTGTGTATGTGTCTGTGTGTGTGTGTGTGTTCGCCGTGGCAGCCTTCCGCATCGTTTCCATAAGTGAAGTGTACGTTAAAGTCCCGTTTGCGGTGCCGTGGGAGCCTCCATGCCGTTTGCATGCGCAGAAGGAGACACGGTAGGAACACGTTGGCCGTGTTTGGCTCCAACGCAGCAGGCGGCACTGACGTGGTGCACGACGCACACGCAAATCTCGCTTGTCTTCCAATACACATATACACCTATATATATATATATATATATATATATATATATAT